GGGGGGGGGGGGGGGGGGGGGGGGGGGGGGGGGGATGGATTTGCAATCAATCTGCATTGCGCATAAAAACAGAAGAGAAGAGAGCGTGGAAAATAAATAAAAAAAGACTCTGATTTTTGTCATGCCCTGTTCACTCCACCACAACACAGTCCGCATAACCACCCATTCACAATGCCTTGGTTTTCGAAAAGAGAAGAAGTGCTGATAGCACCAGATAAATCAGCCCGTGTCAAATGCTGGGAAAAGCGTGACCGTTTTTTCCAATGTCTTGGTGAAAATTACATAGACAATTCATTAGATCCTAAAGAATTGCCCAAAGTGAATGAGAAATGTGGCGACATCAAGAAGGAATTTGAGCAAGATTGCGTTAGCAGTTGGGTGAAATACTTCCAGGAGAAGAGGTACAATGATTTAGTTAGACAGAGGTACATTGCGAAATTGGAAAGTGAGGGTGCTCAACCATTACCATTCAAAATTGAAAGTATAAAGAAATGAGTACTAGCTCTTTCTTTTCTCCAGGAATAAAGGATCTAAATAAATAAATATATATATATATATAGGATTGTTTAAATGGTGAGAAAATGCTAGTTTGCTATAATATGTAAGGGTTTGGTGTTGATACATTGTTCTGACAAAATATCAACTACTGCCCCCCATTCGTACTCGCCCTTTTCAATAATAACAAAACTCAACTCGATGTACAAGGTGCCCAGCGGTCCTATAGCGGGGAATTTCCGCTGCAATACCCCATTGATGAGAATCTTCTTTTCGATAGACAACAGTTTGGCCAAGTTCGCTGAAGGTGATGATGTCGCTGGTAGGAGCAATTGACGAATGAAGCCGTTCACCACATGGCCAGAGTGGTTGGATATACGTGTCCTCAACGTGTAAAATTTGTCAACTTCAAGTTGGTGCAAATTGCTTGATTTGAACTGTTTTCCGTCCAAGGCAATTTCTGTTTCCACCTCTATGTCGTTTAAGACAAGGAGATTTGCCATCTTTGGGGTAATTCTCAAACTTCGTACATCCAATAGGCCGTGTCTGTCATCAACACTCCAACTGCCAGTCAAACTCTCCACCACGGTTTGCTTGAGCCAAAACAATTTTATCATTTGGGCCTCATCCTCCTTGGTGAGATCATAGGCCTTGATAAACTGCTTTTTACGTATTGAAGGGATTGGATTCAGTGGAACTTTCCTAATTCTGTGCAACGGTATGAAATACCTTGCTGTTTTGTTTGGTTCGATAAGATCCAGTAACTTGAAATCGTCGTATTGTAAGTTGCAATGTATTGCACTAGTCCAGGAATTCCTCAAGTCCAAAACCAATAAACAATATTGTGAAGCATTGTCAACATTTTTCAAATAACTTACTGCTGAAGAGACAGCAACTGGCAAGTCATCATTCTCCAATGTAGCTGTGGACAATGACGCAATGATATCACACCCAACAATCTCCAAGCTCGGCACCACTGAAACTGCAATTGGGACATCCAAATGTTTGATAAATGCTTGCTCATTTGAACGGTTGGCATAGTCCAAAATGATTTTCAGCTGTCTCATCAATTTTCTACTAGATAGCAAGTACTCAATTGTCACCTCTTCACCCGGCTTGATAGTTTCGCCAAGAATCTCCTTATTCAAAATCCGGAAAGATTTGAATTCAAGCAAACTCCACTCCAATTCATAAATCTCGAATGCATTCAAATTCGGCTGGCTCAACTTGCGATCTAAAAAGTCAATAGCGGAATCCCAAAAGGAGAAAGAAAGATAGTTTATCGCCTCCGCTGAATCATTTACCAACTTCACCTTGAATTGAAATTGTTCCCCGTCCAAAAGCATGACGCATCCATTGGGAATTGATAAATTCACTAATCTCAATACCGGTTGAGGTCGAATTACTGTTAATGGTAATGTGCGATACATAACACGCGGGTCTTTCAATTCGCCTCGTAAGTACTGGTAAAGTGTATCAAACACAGACTTCTTGGCCTGTACGATTTGCCCCTTATCTGCAACACTGAGTGCTTTAAAACTATCGGTCATAGAGAGTTTGTTGACAATCGGGAAAAACAGCTTTTCGCATCCGCTTATTGTAATCTCAAAGCCGATGATGTTCATCTCACCAACACTCAAAGCCTTAAAAGAAACGAGCATAGTGGCTTGGGACATGGGGGAGATGGTACCAATGATCGTGTTTTGATTTGTTACCTGGGCAATATTTGAGGTGGTGGCATTACGCTTGGGGTTCGATCGCAATTTATTCAAAGCGGGCGAGCTTTGAGCCAGAGGGATAACCTGTTGTGTCATGGTTCTCAATGTCTCAACTTGCATATCTTGAGTGACTATTTCCAAGTCAGCGATTTCGATTTCAAATGCAAACGGATTCTGCAATGTGACCTTGAGTTGATGAACTTCGTCTTTAATCAAGATGCGATCCAAGTTCACTGTGTCCTTTTTCAAGTGATACGGATCAAAAAATAATTGCTGGGAAGAGTCCGTGTCGGCATCAACTAACGGAACCAAGTCGTCTTTTTGCCTTGTGGACACAAATTTGACTTTACGAACCATAAATGGGTCAAAATGGGGCACAGACAACGTAGATTGGCTGGTAATCTTTTCGATCATGTTGCGTAATTTGATTTGTCCATCTGCTGGTATACAATGTGAATAACGAGCAAGCAGAATACAGCAAATCTGGAGGGCCAACTCGTCATCGTTGGTATGCTCTGCTGAATTGAGGGCTAGCTTTAAAACCTGGAGTTGTAACGACGATTGTACATTATTATGCGGAGGATTCGGCTGCAAGAACGACACATCCGGTTGGCCGATAACTCCATACAAGTCAAAAATATCATCCAAGAGTTCCTTAATGGATTTTGAATCGTGCGACGTTTTAAACTGGGATACCAATGCAATCAAATGGAATCTTAAAATGAATGCTTCTTTTCGAAAAAATTTGAGCTTGTGATAGATATGAGCAACGTATGAGTATATATGGCACTGGTCCATTATGTTTAGATCAATCAATTGGAGAAGAAAGATCCTATCGACATCAGCAAGTATATCCTGGGTCAGAAAATACGTATTGTCAGTAGCATCTGATGTCAAATTTCCACGAACAATATCATCCAATGGAACGCTCAAGTGGTAGCCAATCATGAGACTCAATTTCCGCAAGATACAATCAATGTAAACCACATCAGGGACCATGTTTTCAGGATCGTCCGTGCTTTGTCCATAGAAGGTGATTACTTTGGCCAACAACACTTTTAGCGTCTCAGGCACTGACAAAGTGTTCAAATCGACTGATGAGGTAAGTGGTATGGAAAATGCACTCGGTGCAGTTAGAGAAGGTCTTGGCGACACGGCATTCGTCTTGGATCCATTTGATTCCAATGATGTACGTTTGGATGCAGAATGGTCTATCGATACAGACGATTTCGAAACCAGTAACCAAGATCCAAGCATAGGGTTCAATTGGAAGTTGGCCAGAACAAATGAAAGCAAGAATATACTCAATGCCATCCCTTCCAATGCGCTCCCCAACCAAAGAAAATCATCAAATCTTCTCAAACAAGTGATACTTTCGGTAAAGCTTAGCAATGCGTCGTTATATTTCCCCGCCAATAGAAATAAACTCCCCATTAATTTGTGATATCTTCCACTATACTTCGAGTGGGTTTTAGACTTGTCGGTGGAAGTTTTTGGTGTATTTTTCGGCGTATCTGTAGGCAAACCATTGAATGAAGCCTTGAATGACGTGGACCCTGAGCTGAGTCGTTTTTGGGCTTGGTTTATTGTTTTTGTGAGTATATGACTATCTGTTATCGATACTGGAGATCTGAGTGATATATTGCTGTATGCTGATGCATATTCATCCAACGCGGCTAAAAAGGAATCAAATATTTCTGAAAAGATTCCTTCCAACGCAGAAAAATGTGAGGCAACCCCATTATGGAAGTAAGAACTTGTGGCTGAGTTCGACAATTCGGATTCTGGAGTATCAAACTGGATTGTGCTGTGGATAATTGCACCAGAGTACAATTTTTTCAATTGAGTCAAATGCTCGCTATCCTTGCGGTATTTGCCTATTCCCAACACTACAAATGTTTTTCGAAATGGTTCAAACTCGTGTAGATATATCAGATCGTCATCGATGGTTGTGAAATCAGGTATTATTCGTCCCTCTGGAAATGTGGCGGGGTTGAAAAAATGCAAGTTGGCGTTGGCCTTAAGATCGAGCAATCTCAAATCAGTGATGTTTGAAGTGATTAGGTTGACGTATCTGTTGAAATCGCGTAGCGAACAGTTGTTGATGGGAACCAAAAGAACCCTGACAGTCGCGGGAGTTATGAACTTGTACTTATTGGACATGTATTGAATAACATGAACTCTGTCTATTGTGGCGCAAAAATCTAATGATTGGCTTAAGCTTGTGTGAGATTCTCCCTCGCTCTCCTCCTGGTCCAGTCTATAGTGTCTTCAACTCTGCAACCTGAAATTGGTCTTTGATCTCTTTAATAAAAACCGAAAACTCAAACCCAGACCCCGAAAAAAAATAAAAATAAAAATAAAAATAAAAATAAAAATAAAATAAAGTCGTGTCTGGAAGTAAAACACTATTTCACTTTCGCTACTTCTCTCCCTCTCTCTTGGTGTCTCTCTGTTAGTGAAGGCAAAAAAAAAAAAAATTAAGAAACCAATTCACAATCAACAGGAAAGATCACATTCAAACATCATTCGCAAGAGCACATTACCCACTACAGATTCCAAATATGCCAGGATTGAACTTTGAAAACTACCAGAGGAACCAATTTTTAACCACCAAAGGATTTGCACAGCCAAAAGCAACGTCTACGGGTACCACAATTGTCGGTTGTCAATTCAAGAATGGTGTTGTGATTGCCGCAGATACGAGGGCCACTGCCGGACCTATAGTTGCCGACAAGAATTGTGAAAAACTCCACAGACTTGCACCCAAAATTTGGTGTGCTGGTGCCGGTACAGCTGCTGATACTGAAATGGTTACCCAATTGATTGCATCCAACTTGGAACTACATGCTTTATCGCAGAATAGACAGCCTCGTGTGATAACGGCAGTTACCATGTTGAAGCAACACTTGTTCAAATACCAAGGCCATTTGGGTGCGTACTTGATTGTCGCTGGAGTTGATCCTACTGGAGCACACCTTCTTTCCGTGCAAGCACACGGATCAACCGATGTAGGAAAGTACCAGAGTTTAGGTTCTGGTTCCTTGGCAGCCATGGCCGTTTTGGAAACAAATTTTAAAGAGGACATGACCAAACAGGAGGCTATAGACTTGTGTGCAAAAGCCATTGAAGCCGGTATTTGGAATGATTTGGGTTCTGGTTCCAACGTTGATGTCTGTGTGATGGAAGTTGGTAAGGATGCTCAATTGTTGAGGAACTACCTTACACCAAATGTCAGGATAAAGAAATGCAAAGATTATAAGTTCCCAAGAGGAACAACGGCAGTTTTGGGACAAAAAATACGTGACATCTGCGATGTTGAGGAAACCGTTGTTACCTTTGACAACATGGAGGTTGATGCTGCTGTATAGAGTCCGATAGGGAGGGGGGGGATAGGGAGGGAGTTGGGGACAGAGGTAGTACTAGAACTGTTAAAAAAGAACAAATTTCGTCAAAGTGTAGTTTCTCAAACTCGTCTCTTTGCAGCTGGGAGGTTGCATCTTTTGCTTTTGTTTTTGTGTGTGTATGTGTGGGCAAAAAGTTGAGCGCGTTCTGGAACTTTCGATGCAAAATTGACTCGTAATCATATTTATATTCGGTCCATCCTCTTTCAAGTCTCCGCATATAGCTCGCATCCCGCATAGTCTACCTTTTCCTGCACATTTAACCATGGTTGTCAATAATCCGAATAACTGGCATTGGGTCGATAAAAACTGTTTGGCGTGGTCGAAGGAATACTTTGATGAGAAATTGACAAACTTGGAAGTGGAGGATGGCGACAGCAAGGTAAAAATTGCCAATGTTTCTTCCGTTGAAGGTGACGTTGATGTCTCACAAAGAAAGGGGAAGGTGTTATCGTTGTTTGATGTTCGAATTGTATTAACCTTTAAAGGATCCAATGGTAATGTTGATGACATAAATGGATCCATTACAATTCCCGAATTGGCATACGACAGCACCTCCGACGGTTTGGTGTTTGATATTAGCGTCTACAATGAAACGAGCGGAAACTCTAGCATCACAGACTTGATTAAAGGGAAATTGATTCCAGAATTGAGAAAGAAGTTGATGCAATTTGGTCCCGACTTGATTGAAGTGAACAGTAAGGATATTCAATTGGAGGCAGATAAGGTGACGTCTACATATACAAAAGCCAATTTAACTCAAGGTCGCAAGTCTGAATCAAACTCGGAACACAAACATGAATCAAAAGTTGCATCCAGTGCCAACTTGTCTCCGGCTCAGCAAACAAAGTCACAATCCACAGTTCCCAAATACAACACTACAACATTGCATCTTGAGCCAACATTCAACACATCTGCAGAGCAGATTTACATTACACTACTTGATGCTTCCAGGATTGCCGCCTGGACTCGGTCTCCCCCGGAGATTGAGCTGTTCCCGCCAAAACAAGGTTCGTTGTATAGATTTTTCGGTGGTGCAGTTCTGGGAAAGATTTTGAAACTTGTACCAAATGAACGAATCGTTGAATTGTGGAGATTACAAGACTGGAAAGAAGGACATTATGCCGAACTTGACATGCAATTGATCCAAAGCAGTGGCGAAACCAAGGTTGTGGTGAAGTTTAGTGGCATCCCAATCGGGGAAGAGGAAAGAGTCAGAGACAATTTTGAGGACATGTATATTAGATCCATCAAAATTACCTTTGGTTTTGGGGCAGTCTTGTAATTAGAAAAAAATAAAAAAAAAGAAAGGGGTGATCTATTTACTTCAACTTTTTCCGTAGCTTTCCAATTTCGTCTATATCGCCAAATAAGTCTGATAGTAGCAACTGATATTTGAAGTCCCTCTTTCCAAGACCCACAAAGTACAACTCGCTTGACTCGGACCGACTAGATTGTGGTTTGAAGGCATACAGTTTCGCAAATAGGAGTTTCATTCTGGCTTCTAGTAGTTTCAACTCTGACCCCTGCCATACCTTCATGATCAAGTTGCCACCCGCGCGGAGTTGATTGAAGGCAAGTATCAACCCGGCATTGCAAAGTTCCATGTTTCCAATGTGATCGTAGTGGTCATGTCCAGTGCAATTGACCATCATATCGCTCATAATTAGATCGAGAGGCTGCGTCAAACCCTCCTCATCGGTGAAAAACTCTCTAATCTTGCTATGTGTTGACGTCTTTGTCACATCGCCTTGTATATACTGGCAACCTTTATAAGGAGTAGCATGGTTTATATCAACCCCTAAAATTGTAAAAGGGTTATTTCCCAACCTTTCTACTGCTACTTGGCTCCAAGCTCCTGGTGCAAAGCCCAAGTCCACGATATTACGACAATGTCTGTTGAAAATGTGAAACTTGTCGTCTATCTCCAATAGTTTGAAAGCGGCTCTGGAGCGATAAAACTGACTTCGTTTCTTGTCGTTAAAGGGGTCACCTCGAACTTTTTGAAAATGTTTCCTTAACGACGACGAAGACTTGCTCCTTGAGAAGGTGTGCAGTAAGGACTTGATGAACATGATTGATGCAATGCTATATCTCGAGCGACATCGATCGATGGCAAACCTTTTTCTCTCACAAAGACGGTTCTAGTACAGCTGGCAAATATCACCACCAGCGCCGGGTTAGACCCTTGTAACTTTGTTTTAAAAAAAAAAAAAAATAATAGCTCGGATCTAAAGATGAGCTTCCCTTTGATCTCGCTATCTAAGTTTCAACTGCAAATCAATAAACGGAAAAAAATTTGCACCGGGATAGTTTTTCCTAATGCGGTCAAAGTGCGCCGCTCCCATGAAATCCCGCTCTTCCTTATAAATACTCTCTGAGAAAGTGCATTCCGTTCTAGTAGCAAGTTTTTCATTTCATCCACTACATTGCACACTATCAACCAGATATATCAACTTATAAAAAAAAAAAATGTCAGAAACAGCAGGAAAAGTATGTAAATGATTTCAATCGCCGAAAGTGGCTCCAGATCAGCTGTTAGTCGCCGACGCCCCAATGGAATTACACAACGGCGCTCACCCTGGTGGTTGTATACTAACTCAATTTTTGTTTTTTTTTTTAAGACAATTACTTGTAAAGCCGCAGTTGCTTGGGAAGCTAATAAACCATTGAGTATTGAAACAATTGAAGTTGCTCCTCCTAAGGCGCATGAGGTTCGTATCAAGATTTATGATACTGGTGTTTGCCACACCGATGCTTATACCTTAAGTGGTGTTGATCCAGAGGGTGAATTTCCAGTCATTTTGGGTCACGAAGGTGCAGGTGTTGTTGAGTCGGTTGGTGATGGCGTCACTACTGTAAAGCCTGGTGACCATGTCATTGCCTTGTACACGCCAGAGTGTGGTGAATGTAAGATGTGCAAGAGTGGCAAAACCAACTTGTGCAGCAAGATCAGAAACACTCAAGGAAAGGGTGTCATGCCTGATGGGACCTCGAGATTCACATGCAAGGGCAAAAAGCTTCTTCATTTCATGGGTGTTTCAACTTTTTCACAGTATACTGTTGTTGCCGATATTTCGGTTGTTGCAATCAACAAGAAAGCGCCATTTGACACCTCGTGTTTGTTAGGATGTGGTGTCACCACTGGATACGGTGCAGCAACAATCACTGCTAATGTTCAAAAGGGTGACAATGTGGCCATTTTTGGTGCTGGTTGTGTTGGATTGTCAGTTGTACAAGGTTGTCATGAAAGACAAGCTGCTAAAATCATTGTTGTTGATATCAGCAACAAGAAGAAGGAGTGGGCAACGAAATTTGGTGCCACCGACTTTGTCAATCCTACCGAGTTACCTGAAGGAACTTCAATTGTACAAAAATTGACTGAGATGACAGATGGTGGTTGTGATTTCACCTTTGACTGTACTGGTAATGTGAATGTTATGAGAGACGCTTTGGAAGCTTGTCATAAAGGTTGGGGTACCTCTGTTATCATTGGTGTGGCTGCAGCTGGTAAAGAGATTTCAACCAGACCATTCCAATTGGTTACTGGTAGAGTTTGGAAAGGTGCTGCTTTCGGTGGTGTAAAAGGAAGATCCCAATTACCAGGTATCGTAGATGACTACTTGGAAGGTAAGTTGAAGGTTAAAGAGTTTATCACCGACAGGTTTGACTTGGATCACATCAACGAAGCCTTTGATGCTATGCACAAGGGAGATTGCATCAGGGCTGTGATTAAAATGTGACTATCTTCCAAGCTTTGATGTAGAAACTATGTACATTTAACTAAATTTCAACATCGCTTGCGTTTTCCAAATCTTCAATGGACGCAATTTGTTCTTTTTCACCGTCGTCATCCTCCTCCTCATAATCGTCTTCTTCGCCACTCATGTCGCTTTCTTCACTTGCTTCGTCGTCTATATCAACATCTATTTCACCATTGAATTGAGCATCATCAAGATCTTCAATATATTCAACCTCCTCCTCACCTTCCTCCAATTCAGGCTCTTTGCTGGCTTGTTTCAAAGATGATTGATCATACAACAAGTTCAATCTCCCCTGTAGTTCAAGAAGTCTTGGCAATGTGTCCGATTTCTTTGCCAACACAGAATGCAAAGAGTACAACTTCAGGTTCAAGTTTGGCAAGCTGGCAATGACAGACCCGTGAATAACCAAGATCCACTTGAGCCAGTAGTTCAATTGAGTAAATCTGGATGATTGACGTTGGATTCTCTCACTTAATCTGTCCAACAATATCACTGATGAGTACGGATTCAATCTGCTGATGGTGTTTTGTATCGATTGGGGATCACGAGTTTGCAAAACCGTTTCCAACAAAGAGTGATCATTGTTTTGGAGAGCTTGTGACAAAATAATCGACAATGAGATCCCATTTCTATTCTCCTCCAATTTCCTTTTACGTTGCGGTTGCTGCTTATTCATTGCAAGTTTATCAAATTTTTCTGCCAAAGTCTCTTCGTCAGATTCGTCGTCAATATCCGCCAAGCTAGTTCCATCGTTGACCACTGCGTGGCTTTCGTTGTAAAGCTTTGATGCCGCCACATCGTGGCCATGTTCCGATGCGCTGTGACTTGGCTTTAAATCAGCTTTGTTTTTGATAATAGTCTTGCTCTGACGAAGCAAGTAATTTCCCGACTCTGTCCACTTTACTGAATCGAAAAAGGGGATAGTACCACTTTCCAACCACGTGAATAACAAAGAATCGTCCTGAACGGTGATTGCGTTGATGACGAGATTTAAGTCCTGAGGGTTCTTACTTTCTGCCGGGGACCTGGCCAATTTTATAGTCGAATTAGCCGAGTGAGTAATTGCACCAACTTGTTTTCTCTTCTTTCTTGATGGAGTGGCTACTGGGAGGTTCGCATCTGAAAGCGGTCCATTAAACACTTCCACACTTCCATTCTCCACTATTGCGGCCAACACCGACTCCCTCGAATTAGATCCTATGGCTAAGCTCACGACAGCATCCTGAGCAACAAAAATAGCCTTTGTTGTGGTCTTGTTCAACTCGTACAAGTTTATAAATCGATCTCCCTTGGCGCTTGTTAAAAACATGCCATCTTGGAGGGAAACAATGCTGTTTATGGGCTGAATGTGTCCGGGAAATGTTTTGCTAACTTCTTTGGTTTTGAGATTGTACAAGCAGATTGAATTGGAAGCTAGGAGTAAATGAGGTTCTGAGTTGAAAATACAACTCGAAATTCGATTTATAGATTCAACCGACTCGACAAACTCATTCATTTTGAACGAGCGTAGTAATTTGTACAGTATAACATCCCATTCGTAAATACCACCCTGTACATCACAAGACCAGGCGGTTTTCGTGACTTTTGAGTAGTGGAAATCCAAGACTGCAACATTTGCTGGTGTAGTTAATTCAGAAATGATGTCATTCGTATACGGTGAGTATATCAATATACTTCCATTCTCCAAACACAATGCCAAGAGTTCAACTGAGTCTTGTGAAATAGATATCCACGCTAAATTGGAAACTTTATTCGATTTATCAAGATTAAATGCAGTATTGAGTGATGCTTGTGAGGGGTGAACTGACTTGACTTGCACCTGGTGTGTGTCCAAAGATAGTATTGCTGATGCCAAATGGGCATTTTTAGAGTCAAACTTTGAGTGCAAGATTGGTCCTGGCATGGTGGTGATGATGACGAGGGATGTGCTCTGCGATGAGAGTAGTATAGTACACACTGTATTTCAATTGCAAAAAAAAGAAAAAAAAAAAATTTCTAATGAGATGTGTGTGGTAGCGACAAAATAAATTCCATATATTTGGCATACACTTTATCTTTATTACTTACTTACTCAACTACATACGACCTTTTTTTTCAACTGGTTCTTCTTCTTCTTCTTCTTCTTCTTCTTTTGAGCTTCCATCGACATCTCCTCCCCCTCCCGCTTCTTGGTGCTTTGTGGGACTTGCAATTTCTGCGCTTAACGAAGAGATATTGATACCTCCTCGAGATTGCCTTCTCTTTCTCTCCCCTAGATTCACTACTGAAGATGCACTTGGGGCTTCGCTAATTGGAGATCCGCTCTCATTGCTCTCGACTTCATCGTCAAACAAGTGGGCATCACTAACAGGCTTGCGTGTTTCCAAAACCAATTTCTCATACTCAGAAGGTTCCATTTTACCTTCTTTTACTAATTTCTTCAAGAGCTCGTTCAGAGAGGGTGCACGATTGGATGCTTTGCCTTCCGGCACCTTTCCATCCCCCTTTGGGAACTCAAAGTTTTGAAGTGCATCCGTCTGGGGTGTCGCCAGATCCTCCGTGAACAAAAACTCACTCACGTTTAGGTGTTTTGAAGGATCCAATCCCTTCTCTTGCAATATCTTTATACTATTTTGGCCAACTGAATCTTGTGGAATGTCAGGAAGAACTTCCCCACATTTTATTGCGGCAGTGTCCTGTGACGTGTATTCTTTGGAATGTGCAATTCTGCTGTGGTTTAAGAACCCCTGTGCTGATGAAAAGTTGTAACGAAGGCAATCGGGACAAGTCAAACGCACAACCACGCCATCAGACCTACGGTATAAGCATCCAACACTGGATGGTCGTAGCACCGACGTAGAAGCAGTTGGACGTAAGGACGACGTAGTAGATCTTGTCCTATATGAGTGTCCTGGAGGCGGGTTTATTGGATCGACATTGGAGAGTGGTGCTGCGGCCAGACCAGACGTGGGAATTTCCTTGAATCTTTCATACGTTGCATTCAAGGATCTGCTTAGTAAATCGTAATACTTTACCGTCAAGTTGTTGTCATTGGATGTATCGTTATTGGGAATATCTAGGAATTTCCGTAGAAGCAACATTTGCGATTCGGTCTTGCTTAGTTCATCTTCTGCCATATTCAATTCCTTGTGTTTTATTCTGATTTCCAAATCAAGTTGATCATTTATTAGTTTCTTCAACTGCTCATGGGGTAGTGCTTCTAGCTTCTTCCGTATTAGTTCTTCTGGTGACGGCATTGCAGAAGTGCTTAATACCGATGGTGATTCCTCTTTCATGTTTCAATGACAAGAAGTGCCGTAAAGTTTTTGATGTGATTTTTTTGGGAAGGCAATATCTGGAGCTACCAATAATTTTTGTGCAAAATATGAACTGTAGACGTCATACGCCTTGATGCATCATGTTTGACTAATCGTCATTGCTGAAATGCACGTAGAAGCAGAAATGCCGTCCATAAGCGAATCGCTACAGTTGTAGCGCCAAATGCAGCGTGAGTTGTCTTCTAAGGGCCGCATTTTCTTGCAGTTTGAATGTTTTCTACCATCTCCATATCGACCAACAGGGCGAATAGCGCAATGTCAATAGTGCAGTGACTCAAGTCATCACAGATGGCTCCTATGGCAGTGCCAACAACAGACGTCGCCAGATAATCTGTTACGAACTTCCACTGAATGAGGAAGAATGATTGTTACTTTGCAACTAAAAATATCTTTTTTCCTCTCCATTGTTTTAACCCCCCCTTAACAACAACCAGCAACCAACAAGGTTCCATTGTTTTGGGCTCCTTACACGTGGGGACACATTTTGAAATTGGAACTTCAATATATATATATATATATATATATATGTACAAGGTGAAAAAAGAAAAATTTCAAAACTCATCTAATCCATGAATGATTCGACATAAAGCTTCCTTCTCATCATTATGCAATTGTCAGGTGTACTTCTCCCTGCATTTTTAACTGCCGTCACATTTGCACAAGTTGTCCTTAGCGACGACTCGGTCACGTTGCCAAAATTCAAATCATCCACAGAATACTTTGACCAGAGCGACCCCAACGTAAAACCATCAGATGTCAATTATGGTGATAACTTTGGCCTCAAGAGTAATTACTCCTGGGCGGATGTTTTGAAACAACTCGACGAACACCACAAGCTTTTCCTTCTAGTCAGGCATGCCCAGGGAGTTCATCAATGCAACACTCCATCTACAGATTGGACTTGCTACTGGCAGACTATAGATGGTTATGATGGACAAGTGTGGGCGGACGCTTTGCTAACTCCAGAGGGAATCTCCGAATGCCAACAACTTTCCCAACAGATTAACAAGACAAAAGATTTCCCCTTCCCAGACCATCACTATTCAAGTCCATTAAGGAGAACTTTACAAACGTGGGAGCATGTGTGGAAAGATTTAGTGAAGGATGTTCCAACTCTCAAGGAGTTTGCTAGGGAAACTTATGGAATTCAGACTGAAAGCAAGCGCCATTCTAAATCTTACATTAAAGAGAACTGGGACTACGTCAACTTCGAAGCCGGATTTACTGAAGACGACGAATTGTGGTCCAATTCCACTCGTGAAACTGGCAAACATAGGAAATACAGAGCCGCTTCCGTATTGAGCGACATATTTGAAGTCCACAAAAACGACAAGGTTATAGGTCTTGTGTCTCATTCTGGCTTAATCGGATCAATATTGGATGTGGTTGGGCACAGAGATTACCCTGTAGATAATGCAAAGTTGCTTCCAGTTATTATTCAGAAGAAGAAGCACAAGACTAAAACTTACAAGCTTGATGACCCAGACAAGACCTTTGAAGATATTTGTCCAGATAAGCCATCTCAAATTACAGAAGGGCCTGAATTGACTTGTAGTGCTGCTCCGTTTGATGAAAGGGCCTAATTTTACAGATCAATGAATAAGACAATTTTGAATACGTAACAATTGTATGTAAGCTTGTGCGTAAATATTTTGTGCCATATTTGCTGTATAAAAGGTACAAGATAATGATTAATCAATCGTGACATGATAAGCTTACGTGTTAACGATGAGTAATGCATTCTCATCCAAGTCAGCTCAATAATGCTAATGCTTCATCTTAGTCATTTTTTATTTGTCTTGAATTATCCATTCCGTATCAGTGGACTGATACCAGAGATTACTAATCCGAGGAACGTTTTTTTTTTTTCGGTGGTAGCTCTGGAACTTTCGCAATTGTGCGTGCACGGCAAGCATGGCGAACAAAGAGTTTACTTTTAAAGCAAATGGCTATATTAAAAAAAAGAAAAAGAAAAAAAAGAGAATCAATTCACCACATCTTTTTCTTGTATTGCCATCAATTGCAACTCAATTGCCCTTTTACTCATCAATTAAATAATCATGGTTAAAGTCGTTAAATCTGCTGCTGAATTCCAACAAGCTTTGAAGTTCGTCGGTCTCACCGTTGTTGACTTTTACGCTACTTGGTGTGGTCCATGTAAAATGATTGCTCCATTATTGGAAAAATTCAGCACCGAATACTCCAATGTTAACTTTGTCAAGGTCGATGTTGACGAATCCAGTGACATTGCTCAAAAATACGAAGTCACTTCAATGCCAACTTTGATTTTCTTCAAGAATGGGGAGATTGTCCAAAAGGTTATTGGTGCTAACCCAGCTGCTATTAAGCAAGCAATTGCTTCCAACGCTTAGATAAATGTATAGTTTGAATGAATACCTTTACGTTTGATGCTGTTTCACGTAGAAGTGAAACAAGATGTAAGATGTTGTATGCGCAAAGAGTGGTGCGGGAGATAAAATCGTCCTTTGATTTGACGTACAAACTCAAGAGTCTACTATATATAATCAAGCATCAGACTGGAACCCGTAAGTGAGGTAAAACTCAGGTTTCGTGTCCACTGGATCGTAACTAATTGTAACTTCAAAAGGTTCCTCTTTGATGGCCTCTTCTTTTTTTAGTTTCAACACGATATCGTTGTTTTCTCTATCAACATCAAAATAAGCGTTGTTTTCACGATTGTGATTTGCAAAATCCAAAACGGGAACAAGCGTCACGTTCGTTTGGAATTCTGAATCAGGGTTACCCCCTTCCACCTCTTTGGGAACCTCCAACGATCTTGAACGAATAGCTTGAAATAGTTGAAAGAATTTATCAAAAGATATATTGTCAGCCACATCGACATTAGGAATATCTTTATGTGCATGCGCAATAAAATCCTCGTATTCAGACCACACTATATTTCGCAATTCGCCAAAACTATCAGCAAATGGGTTCTCGTTGTCCACGTCAAAAGAAAACACTTTTGTCAGCAACAAGATATCCAAGTAGGCATCCCAAGCTCTCAATGGTGATGTTTTGTAATAATCTGATGTCTTATCTCCCAGTTGTCTCAAAAACTCGAATCCCACCAAGTATGCCAACAATATAATGGTCTCTGATCCTGGGTTTAGTATCTCAAGGAATTTGACAATCAAGTCCGACTCCTTTACGCTCGCATCCAGGTCCTTGTCCCTTGCCTTTAGCTGAGTGAGTAGCTCCAACAACGTGTCCATGTTGAGAGACGACTGCGTGGGGACACGAAGTATAATTTTGTCGTCTTCGGCTGATTCGGTATTTTTGCCTTGGTAAAACAAACCAATGCCAAAGCTTTCACCGACTGAAAGATTACCCTCTATGCCTCGACTTGAAATCCATTTCTCGAATTCATCAATGCTATCCACTCCAGGTATAGTCAAGCCTTTTGAAATTTCGATTGTCATTAAGGGGAGGGTGAAGAAAAAGGTGTTGTTGCAAAGGAGAAGGATAGAGAGACAGAGAGAAAGGGACGGCTTCACCGCCCCCGCGCAAATTGGTACACTGTGACAACTGTGTGACAACAAAGCAGAAGAAGAAGAAGAAAAAATAAAATATAAAAAATAAAAAAAAATTTTTATTTGCAAACGGGAACAGATTGCGTACGGTACTGACACACACACTATTGATAAGCAATCTTATAGACGAAAATGGCCTGGGACGACGAGGATTTCGATATTCCATCAAATAGCAAGACATCTGCATCTTGGGAAGATGAAGAGGATGATGATCCGCTTTTAGAGAGCTGGGATGTGGATCCAGAAGAGGAGGCAAAGAAGAAGAAGGCAGCCAAGGAAGCAGAGGCCAAGGCCAAAGCAGAACAAAAAGCCAAAGAAGATGAAGCTAGGAAAAAGAAGGAGAAAAAAAGACAGGAAATGGAGCAGTTTGATAATTTGGACGAGAGAAGCAAAAGGGAGCTTTTGAAGAAAGCTGAATTGAGTGCCGATTTGAACAATGCCGCTGATCTTTTTGGAGGGCTCGGCGTTGCTGGTGATGGCGATGGCGACGACGACGACTTCGATATCAATGAACATCCTAGAGAAAAAGCCAGAAGAGCAGAAGCGGCTGCTGCTGCTGCTGCTGCTTCGAGGAAACCAGTGTTGACTAAAGATACTCCATTGGAGGACCATCCATTGTTTCAACCTACAAACAAACAAGAATATGAAAAGTTGAGAAAAGCAGTGGGTACCGCGTTGACTACTTTGAACGAGGACAGTTCGCTTTTGTATGCATCGAGCTTGGCAATTGACTTGATTAGAGATTTGACACAGCCATTGTCAGTGGAAAATACCAGGAAAGTTATCAGTACATTGAATGTGATAATAAAGGATAAAGAAAGACAGGAGAGGTTGGCTAGGTTGAAGAAGACTGGAGGAACTGCCAGTGGTGGTGCGGGAAAGAAGAAGGCCAAGCCAGCGGCCAGACCTAATGTTGGAGGTTTCAAAAAGGATGATTTCGATGACATGGGTGGTGATTTGGACGGCTTGGATGACGATGACTTTATGTAGATATGAGGATCATTTAATAGAAAGTAATTGAAGGGTGGTGGTGGTGTTAGTATTTGTAAATCGGTTTCTCACAGTGTAGCAAATCCATCGCATCGAAAACAGTCATGGAGTATTGCCGTCGTGTTTTGCTTCGAGAGGAGTTTAGTTTGTTTCGTGTGTCGTGTGAGGTAACCCCATCCTCTACTTCAGCAGCGTCATAACTCTGCTGAGTACCGTTTGGGTTGGTCTCTTCAAAGTCCGACACGTCTTGGACATCAGGGTATGGTTGAATGTTGGGTCTCTCCAACTCGTCATTTAACAAGAAATTGATTGCAACTTTCTGCAAGTTCCCACTTGGTGGTTGGGCACTCTGTAAATCAAGGTGATACAGCACAGGAGAGTTGTCCATGTTTCCCTCACTCATATTGTTTTGCTGGTCATCCTGTACCGCGTTTGGCCTCCCCAAATCAGACACCAATGAGTGCGGTTTGTTGTAGAAAGTGCACATATCAAACACATTCTGGGCCGTGGTTGTGATACTAGCGTCACGCACTTTATTTAGTAGTGTTCTTATGGTTGGGAGTCTGGTTGGATGAGAACTTGTGACGGGATTGTTGTTGGATAATCCGGGGGTGCTTACTCCATATGGAGCCTCGATTGCTGCATGTGTATCCACTAACGGAGCCTCTTCAACTGAATTAAGGGGCTCCTCTATTGTCTGAATTAGCCTACCTCTGCAAACAGTGGTGCCATTTTTTGGATGCATTGCTTTGGGTTTCCTTTTCGATTTTTGCTTGACTTTGGGGAGTTGCTGCCAAGTTGAATCAGCAAGTGGGGGAACATCATCACTGTAGATCTCATGCAAGGTTAGCCTCCTACCGTTTCGTGCCATCTTTATTTCCCTTTCAATTGCCAATGCCGTGGACAAATTTGTCAAGAAGTCACCACCAACAAAGTGTGTTGCAAAAAAAAAAAAAGAAAAAAATCATCCTCCATATGAAAGAGTCAACTTTGAAAAATTTAATTCACCGACAATAACTCCAATTTAAAGAAAACATTACCCAAGCGGTGTTTGAAGCATCTGCCAACTTGACCCTTGTTTCTTCCTCGTGGTCAGACACACTCCAATCGTCTCTTCTCCACCCATCAAACCTTCCAATCCATATTTATTTTTTTTTTTTTAATTCGAAATCCAAATTCGCGTTCTAATCTGAAAGACAAGTCAACTCCTTCAATTCCGTCTTCCCCAATTTGCACTGACCACTAAAACAGCATGTCCCACAACACCGCACAGTCAGCTCCAGGTCTCAACAAGCGATCTCAAATACTAAGCGGTGTTAACATAATAACAAAGAAATCCGACATTATCAACCTATCGTCGTTGTCATTTTTATTCTGCGAGATTGTTGATTGGGCAAGAAAACAATCCAAAAACATACTGGATCTTGAGAACAGGTTGAATGGGTTGGGGTACCCTATAGGACAGCGATATCTTGAGCTCGTCAAGATCAAAGAAGGATTCAAGTTTAACAAACGAGAGATTAAAATCATTGGCATTTTACAATTCATCCATGGACCATTTTGGAAGAGTGTATTTGGCAAAGTGGCGAACGAATTGGAGAAATCGCAAAACATCGCCAACGAGTATATGATTATTGAGAATGTGCCGATGTTGAACCGGTTTATTAGTGTGCCGAGTGATTATGGAGATTTGAATTGTTCGGCATTTGTTGCGGGTATTATTGAGGGGGCTTTGGATAGTTGTGGGTTCAATGCGACGGTAACGGCACATAATGCCGAGTCGGAGCAGAGTCCGCTAAGGACAATATTTTTGATAAAGTTTGATGAACTGGTCATGAGAAGGGAGAGTTTACGATCGTAGTTGTTAGATGAGAATATTTAGTAATAGAGATGGTGAACGTCAAACTGCTGAGACGTTATATCATACACTGGAAGATACTCATTATGCTGTACCGTAGTGACTACCCTGCAGACTCTTGTTGTAAAATCTACCCTCCGTGATATCTGAATGCAAATTCAAATTGAAATAAAAAAAAAAAAAAGAAAAAGTGAAAAAAAAAAAAAAAAAAAAACTTTGGAAAAAAAACTTCGTGTTGATTTTGCAACGACTGAATCTCGAAAAGCTCAAATCTCCCCCCCTGTAAAGCAATGGGAATAACTATACGCCAGGCTACGATTGAGGATGTCCAGGCCATGCAAAATGCAAACTTGCACAATCTTCCCGAGAATTACCAGCTAAAGTACTACATGTATCATATTCTTAGTTGGCCACAAGCGTCATTTGTGGCTACTACAAGCACAATGGATAGTGAGGGAAAAGAAGAAAAAGTTGTTGGATACGTTCTTGGGAAAATGGAAGACGATCCAGAAGCAGCCGATAAAACCCCTCATGGTCATATTACGTCGTTATCGGTGATGAGAACGTACCGTCGAATGGGGATAGCTGAGAAATTGATGCGTCAGTCGTTGTATGCCATGTGTCAACTGTTTGATGCCAAGTACGTTTCTTTGCATGTCCGGAAATCAAATAGAGCTGCATTGCACTTGTATAGAGACTCGTTGCAATTTGAAGTGCAACTGATTGAAAAATCTTACTATCAAGATGGTGAAGATGCGTACGCCATGAAGTTGGAGTTGGAATTGGAAAAACTATTGCCGTCATCGGCACAAAGAGGTGTTGAAGATGACTTGGCAAAAGACTTGTTGGAAGAAATAGCTGTATAATGGAATAACAATTATGTAAATAAATACTCTAATATCTTTCCTTCATCCTACTTGCAACTGTTCTTAAGTTTCCATACACTTTGCCTGGCGGCGAGCCCAAAATCAACGACACCACCGCTTCTCTAGCCATTCTAATGTGTGTGAAACCTCCCAATATATGTATTTTAGAATCAGCCAATACGATTCTTGTCCTTGTAGCATTTTCAATTGCAAACTTGGTCTTACCATCCTTACCAGCAATACGACCAATTGCTCTACTCAAATGGTCTCCAGTCAATGTCTTGACATCCTTGATTTCGAAAGTTTCAATATACAAATCGTCCAATCTCAACAATGCTATAGCGTCATCCACATCGAACCCCAATGTGAATGCTTTCACGAAATCTGCCCCCTTTTGTAATGCGCCCGGGTCAGTGGTGGCTTTATTTGTCCTCAATTCAACAGTCTTTGTTTTGAGATTCATTCGCACCTGTAGTTTCAAATGGTCTACTAAAGGAGGGTATACTTTAGTCCATACATTCTTTAATGGTGTCATACGATGAGGTGGTACTGGCACTTTCCTGCTTTCCAACTTGACTTTCATATTAGACTGGGCTTCTCCTGAGAACTTGGGTTTCCCCAGCTCGTCAAGCTCGACCGTTTGTGAGTCTGATTTTTTGCCTTGTTGTAGTTCTTCAAAGGGTACATTTTCTGTATCAATGAGCATTTCTTCGTCGTCATTTTCAACTTGGTTCACTCCCAGCTGCTGTTGTTGCGGTGCATCTTGTTGTTGATCCTGTGGTTGTTGTTGTTGTTGTTCTACTTTCTTTAATGCTGTGGGTGCACTCATCTTATGTTGTGTATTATTATATGCTATGTTGGATCTCTTGAAGATATGTAAGTAGCTCATCCCATATTGATCCTTTTTTTTTTTTTCTCTCTTCTTGTTGTTCTCATTTGAAGAGATGGGAGATGCACATTAAACCTAATTCTCTCTCTCTCTCTCTCTCACTTCTTTTATTTCCCTTTTTTTTTTTTCTTTTTTTCTTTTTTTTTTTTCATTTGCTCTCTCTCCTGTCTTCTGTTCTGGTAAAACTACAATTTGGCTATTTTTCATTTCCCTTGCTCTATATCACAACATTACTTTGTCGTCTGTTCAAGAGTTTGCCACTGTGGTATATCATTCTACATCGGAATTAGGTCTATTCCACTGTTTTCACCAGTTTCACCAGTTTCACCACACACACACACACACACACACACACATACATACAAGCTAAAGAAAGCAAGCGCCGCTAATGCTCGCTTCTAGGTATTTGCGGACGCCAGCCATGCAATCAATTGCAAAATCCCAACTACCACTTGTAAGGGGGTGTTGCATACTACTAAAACGAGGCATCTCAACTGTGCCGTATTTGCATGAACGAAGAAGAGCTTGTGCGCTTGGTGCACGATATTTCACTACATCTGCATACTTCCAAGCATCATCCTCACCCACCAGCCACAAGCATGACACCAACGAAACAGTAACTGACGCCAAAAAAGTTACAAAAGCGGCACTCCTAGCTCAAGCCAACAGTCGATTGAGTAGGTTTTGGATAAATGTCAAGTGGCCACTAGTCAGAGGCAAGAAAACTTCCAAACTAGACATCTCCTCAGCATTTATTTCCGGTATGATTATGGGAAACTTGTTGTGGATCATATTGGGTACTACGACATTTGGATTAATGGTGATGTACTCACTCCACTACTTGGACAATGTCTTTGATAATAGCAACAAGAAGGAAAAGGCAACAAAGAATAGCATTTTCGGATACATTTCAGGAAGTATATTGTCCCACGGTCTAGGCGTCAACTTGCAATTTGAAAAGGGAGCTTTACCAGAGTTTAAGGATGGCAAATTGAGACTCAAGAATGTGACTGTTACATCCAAAGATGCTAGTGACTACAAAGTCCAAGCAAAAGTCGAGTCCATGAATGTGACTTTATCATTCAACAAATGGTACGAGGGAAATGGTTTAATTTATGACCTTGAACTTTATGGATTAAATGCAAAAATAAGCTTGATTGCAACTGCTACATCAGAAAAGCACCTTAATGTCGACAAGAACTACTTGCTTGAACATGTTAAAATTTATGATTCCCTCATCGAGGTTGATGATGGAAGTGCAGGAGAACCTATGTGCATCAACATTTTCAACTGCGATTTGCCAAAAGTTAGAGGCGATCAACTCGTATTGGACTTTTTCAATGCCACAAATGCCAGCGGTGCAATCAACAACTCCTTATTCACCATTCACAAAAGGCAAAGCTTGGACCCTCAAACTGGGCCCGATGACAAATTGATCAGATTCAAGTTGGACGCCATTGATTTAGGCACAGTTACCAAATTTAACCCGAAACTGAAGTTCAATTGGATTGTAAACGGGAAAGCTGAAGTTATTGCTGATATAACCCTTCCAAAGGACAAAGAGAGCGAGCAATCCATTGGAGACGTTATTGGAAAACTATTTAAAAACATTTCAAGTATGAATACATCGACTGAAAATGGCAATGACGAGTCGTTGCTCAAAGACGCCATTAGTGCCATCTATCACACTTTTAAAAGAGAGCCGGAAGAAGATACAAATGAATCATACGTTATGGTCAATGTCAAGGTTAAACTATGGGACTTGCAGGCAAGTTTACCCAATAACTTGCCAATGTCAACAAACGCTACGCCATACATCTCGTTATCCGACTTGCGCTCATTGATTGGGTTTGTGAACCAAGAAAAATCACCAATAACTTTAAAGACTACAATTATTGAAAAAGTTTCTCAATTGCAAGATATCGAGCACTTTGGTCAAACGAAAATGCTTGATGGTATTGCCTCTGACATGTATGAAGACTTGATGTCCATGGTTAAAGATGATGAGCAAAGGATCATCCTGACTAACACTTGGGCCAGTGCCATTGCTACTCAACTATTAGTCCTAGGTTTGGGCGCCCTTGCATAAAAAAAAAACTGTATATAGTAAATGAACGATTTTGACGAATTTTTTTAAAAAAAAATGGGGTTTTAGCCTTTCTTTCTTCTTTTTAGGAGTGGTGCATCGTTTACTTGGTTCTGCAATTCCCTAGCCAAATCATCGTCAATCGGCTTAGCACCAATTCCCAAAGTAACACCTCGCTGTCGGTTCTTGACATCCTCTTCATATGTGCCTTGATCATTGTCGTCTTTCCCATCCCATCCCAATCCCCGAAGAAAAGCGGCACCAAATTCCTCCACGGGAATTTTCTTCACACCATCCTCCGCATCATCGTCATCTGATGAGTCTGAATCTGATTCATACGTCAACTTCTTTATAATGGAGCGTGCTTGCACTGACTCGGTCTTGGCAAATGTAGTGACTCCATATTTAAGTTTCTCAACGGGCTCTTCTTGCTTATGCAGTTGTGGCTGCACTATCGAGCGACTAATCTTCTTTGGTTTGATGACCCATGGTTCAGCCTCTTGGTGCTTGGTTTCTGATGCGCCATTGTACGATTCGATTAGTTTTTTAGAGTCATCTGCAGATTCCCTCTTGAGTAGTTTCTTAGGGCCCGTTTTCTTTTTGAGATTTATTTTCAATCCAGCCATGGCCTAGACAAGTATAGGACGGCTAATAAGTGGTAGTTGAACTTCCTGCGCGGGTCTTAGCAACGATGATATGCCGTCGTTGCGCTACCAAATTTACATTGAATGGATAGTTGCACAATGTCACCCTTCCTACTACGACGCTGTACGACTCGTGGTTTCTATACGTCTCTTTATCTAGCAAGGAAACTTGCTGCTTAGCTATAGCATCTGGGTGGTGGGGTTGTGTAAAAATTTTCTTTGTTTTTGTGTACGCAACGCTCTTCCAATGTTTTGTTGCGTGAAATTGCTCTTTACACGCGTTTCGAAAAAATATACAATTCCGTCTGAGCTCCAAGTTTCAATTCTTTATTTTTTTTTTTTTTTTTTTTGCAGCTTGAAGCATATACACCTTTGATGATAATCGTTGGCCTGGAAGATGTTAGAAAACGGGATGGTATATCGGAGGAGGATACGAGTAGCGAGATCACGGATGTTGACGAGCAGTCCACAACATTACGTACAAGCTCACAGGAACCAGGCATCGAGCACGTTCAAAACAAGCCCAATGCTTTGATGTCACTATTGAATGGGAACCAGAGAGCGGTGAAGATGAAGAGAGTGGGAGAAATTGCAAGATCGTGTGAGTCTACTGATGGTGCTTCATCATCTACGGAGTCTCTCTCGAAAACCGTGTCTCCAAGTTGTGAATCAGTACTGCTAATGTCAATTTTGAATGGAAATAAACAAAAACAAATCCCAAAGGAAGATGATACAGTGGAGTCGACACCTCAGAATACAATAGAAGCACCACTGCTTCTACCTATAACGCAGCCCGATGCACTTGGATCCACTCGAAATCACTCCCACATGCTAACGTCGTTGCTCAATGGAAATAAAAAGGTAAAAATACTGAAACAAGTGGAGCAAGTGGAACAAGTGAGACCAAGTGCTCCAAAAAACGATCAAAGCACGGAGACCTTGGAGGAAAAGGTCTACTCCAAAGTCAAATCCACATCGGTGAAGGCGTTATTCTCGTCGTACAAGAAAACGTTCGACGGTAATGTCATCATACGACTACCATCAGAGCAATTACTGAGGATACAAAACTCTTCAAACGCACAGTCCAAAACTGGTACAGATCACTCTTCGAAAGATCTAGAGTCACGTATTTTCCACAATGCCAAACTGACCTCGGCTCGAGACTTGTTCAGTAGTCTCGGGGCTCAAAATGATAACGTCGATGAGGTCAAATCTTGTATGGTCACATTAAAGGTAGATCCTAAAAAGTTGGCCAAAGTGAGCTATTTTGTTACGAGGGGAAATCAAGGTGGTGGAAAATCCTGCAAGAATTTGTTTAGTGAAATGATGACAGCGAGTCGTAACATCAAGTTGAGTCCACTTCAGAAAGCTAAAGAAATCAGCCCGCCAGTGATGAACAAAACTGACTTTCATGTGTTTGAGGGTGGCTCAAGAGACCAAATAAAACCCAGATTGCGGAAACCAGCACATTTGGAAGACCATTCTGGATATGTGCCTGTCCTGCCAGCAGCTGTTGCGAGTGAGACATACTACTACGACACAATACAGGTTAACAAAAAGGAGCATGCTTTGAAAAAGTTGCCACGACTCCAAAAGACTGCTCCTCTCAATGCCATCTTTAAAAGACTTGGTAATGAGACTGGAAAACAATTGTGGGTTGACAAATTTCGGCCCGATTCTATGCAAGATCTACTAATGCATAGGCAAAACATTGACCTTATATCGCAGTGGTTACGCAACTCATTCGAAAAGCTCCGAGAGCAAGCTCCCTTGAGGAACTTAAATCAAAGGTTGAAGAAAAAGCGGCTCGATTCATTCATTGTCGAGGAAGAAGCTGGAGAGGAAATTTCGCTGCCGTTTCTCATATTGCAAGGGTCAAGCGGTTCTGGCAAATCCACAGCTGTTTATACCTCAATGAAAGAGATGGATGGATACGTCCATGAGATCAATAGCGGAATGGCAAGGGGCCGCAAGGATATCTACAATAGCTTGAAGGAGTTGTCGACTACTCAGCTTGTTCATGACTCCAAAGACTCTAAACCAGGGTTGATCTTCTTTGAGGATGTTAATATCCTCTTTGAACAAGACAAGACATTTTGGCTGGTGGTGCAGGATATTATAAACGTTTCGAAACGGCCAATCGTTATCACATGTGAAGAATTGTGGAACATTCCAAAAAACCTTCTTGATTTTGCCCAGGAGGATGATTCAATTGTTTTTATTGATGATCGTATAGTGTCGAGAAAGCTTGTTGTTGACTATTTGTGGATGTGCTGTTTGTCGGAGGGTTTTGATGTTGAGGATCATATTCTTGGCCAGATTGTTGATGAGATGTGGAATGGCCATAATTACGATTTACGTGGGTGTATAATGAGTTGTGAGATGTTGTGTAAGAAGAAGCTGGACAATGTGGTGGTGATTAGGACAAGATATGAGGGTGAAGCATCCGTTGTGAGTGACTTGCAAGCAAAAGCATTCAACTGCGAGTTGAACTCGTGTGGTGATGTTTATGAAAGCCGTTGTGAATCTCAGATCCCACAAGCTAGGACCGAGAATGAATTATTCGATATATATTGCGTTGATGACTCCTCTGGAGGGAGTTTACCGTTTGAATTGAATATCGGGAGTGAACTACAACAGGTATCAAATTGTGATGCAACGGTTCCATCTCCAAAGTTTACATTCAATGACTTGCAATACGAGTGTCAGCAATTCATTGGTTCCAGAAGTAAAAAATTGTCATCCTACTACTACCAAGACTTTGGGAAGAGAGCAACCCGCTCCAGCAGCGATATCGTGGAGCCTACAACAGGTATACCCGAGACGTCATTCATCTACAATATTTCGCCAGCACCATTTACACTCGATCTATTACCGTTTGCTAGAATATGGCAAGCTTTCCAAACACAACTTGATATATTCGAAACCAAAACATTGAACGAAGACAAACCGAGTTTGAAAAAGTTCCTACAATACCGTGACTTCCAACACAAGTCAACACTAGCTGGAACATTGAAAGTAGAGTAAAAGTAGTGGTCAAATAAGTCTCGTCCGCGTTTTAACCACTCCGCCTCCAAATGACCTTCCAGCTTTATGTTTAAAGTCGGTCTTTTGCAATCTTCTCCACGCCTCCTCTATATGATATGGCATTATCGGACTGGCCAATTCGTCGGGTCTATCAAACAAGTATTTCCTCTTTTTCGGTTGTTTTTCCCGCTCCATGTTTTTCTCCTTTTGTATTTGATTTAGCTTATCTTCAGAATTCTTTATATTCATCGCCTCTTCTGTCAACGAGCACACAATTTCAAAAGTCAAAAACCCCAAGATATCAATTACATCGTCATTGGGTCTTGTGTCGCACAATTGTGCCATGTTGGCCCATTCTCTGAACCGCTTAGCTTTTCGAAATGTGAAGGAAGCTTGTCTACATTCTGACCAGTGGACGTACTCCTCTCTTGTCATGTTCTTGGTCCTGTCATCTGCCATTTTCAATCTTTTCAATGATGCAATAGTGGCTGCTTTCTCCTCCTCGTCCACTTGCTCGTTATCATCGTTTGTCTCCAAATGTTGTTCACTAAACATAAATTGCAACTCCCAGGGGAGTCTGATTTTGGATTTTTTGTACCTCGATAGCATCTTGGAGTCATTCGATGTCTGTTGCAGTTTGCCGTCAGCTGGGCCGCCAGCTACTCCATCTGCACCGCCCTCTAATAAAGATTCTGTACCTCCGCCTTCTTGATCCTTGGCATTCTTTCTAACGTCCTTCCACGACAAGTAAGTACGCAATCGATTGACTTTCGCCTTGTCATGGCGGATGAGAAAGATGACATCTTCTGGCGCTATACTCTTTGACCCTCTACTGTTTGCAGTCTTGGTGGTTTGCACTAATATCTCAATCACTTGACCTCGCACAATATCCTCAATCAACGATGTTGTTTCGACTGGAGGGTCGTTGGATTCCCCTGATACAAACATCATCTGTTGTATCTCTACACGATACTTGTATTTGCTGTCACTTGACATTGTTGGTGGTGGATCTAATTGAGGTCCTGATGTGTGTGTGTGTGTGTCTCCAGTCTCTTCAATTGAGAAATTGTATTTACAAAAACGCGACATACGTAAAATTTACAGCTCACGACATTGGCTCCTTTTCTTCTTTTTCTTCTTCTTCTTCTTCTTCTTCTTCTCGTCTCTACGAATTGAAAAAGAAAAAAAAAAAAAAAAAATTTTCCCATTCCACATCACTTTCTTCTTTTCACAACCAAAACTTCATCCAATTAAACTGTATGCTATAATGTTTGTTTTGAATTAGCGACCGCTTGGTGCTGATTTAAACTCATACAGTTTGGTTAAACTGGAGTATTCAATCACTACAAAGGTATTTCAATGATGACTCTGAGTGCATTTGGCTCGAGACGTAATGTCGATGTGGAAAAACCCACGCTACCTTAATTTTTTTGTCTGAAGATAATACTTTTTTACATGAAGTGATTGATACTGAGTTTAATCCTGGCCATTGATTGGAACATTTTGCTTAGATGGTGGGGCGTAGAGAGAAATCAAATTGTCTACTTGTTTTTTTTTTTATTTTTTTTTTTTTTGTAAATTCACTTCTATAATAGGCTATTAACCAAAGAGTCGTATACCATTGGACTCGGGTTCAAGTTCATTCTCTGACTCCACTTCCGCTTCCTTCTCGTCTTCGTTCATGTTCACTTTTTGGCCCAACAAGGATGCAAAGAATTCGTCAATTTGGTCATCGCTCCACTTCCACCCGCCGGTAGAAGATTCAAAATTGGCAATTTGCTCTTGTACGTGAAACCTCAATTTTCTTCCCTTTGATGCTTTCGTATCCACATTGTTTCTCAACTTGTTTGCCTTTTGTGCCGACCTGATTATGGTGATGTTTGAGGTTGGATCTGATGACTGCACTTTCTTATCAACTAAATCATTCAACAAAACACGGTAAAAGTCCTCATCATCAAATATGTACGAGTTCTCCTGGCCCTGTGCTTTCTTACGTGGAGCCATTTCTTCACCCACGTCGTCGTCGTTGTTGTTGTTGTTGTTGTTGTTGTTGTTGTCGTTGTTGTTGTTACCTTGTAGAGCAGATGCACCTTTTTTCTCTTCTTCAACGTAGCCCAATGGAACAACTTGTTTCCTGTTTAGCTTAGTTCTCTTGATTAATCTTTCCATATCCGACAAGTTGTTCTTCACCTGTTGTTCAAATGACTGGTTGATTGCTTTGAATTTGTTGGCATTCATGGCTGAGCTTCCTGAGGAATTCTGGACTTTAAAAGACCACTTGTTCAATATACTGGCACGCTGGCGTGTCAAATCATTATCGGCATCGCGAGTTGCACTTGACATTGCTTCAAAGGTTCTCTTTTTTGGTAAAGAAATGTTTGTGCTTCCCAATTGCGATCTCAACGAAAGTACATTCTTCAATAACCCGTAGAGTGCAAGTTTGACATCATCAAGTAACCCATCGCTATCTTCAGACTTGTGCTCTTCGTAAGTAACAGAATTGATGGGTAGTTGATTAGCACTGTTTACTGCTTTTTGAAATTTGATCCTCACATCCACTAATTTTTCATAAGTTTTGTATTGTTGTTTTACGGCGTATCCTTTCAATGTATCATTTATTGCCGATTGGGATAGTCTGTTGACAATATGTGATCTTTCTTTCGTCAAGAGCTGCTTGACCAACTCCTTTTGATGCGTTGGTCTGTCAGGAGATTGTCTTCTTGGAACCCTGTTTGATTCCGAGTCCTCGCTAACTGAGTCTGGCTCTGATTGAGATTCCTCCACGGAGTTGTCATTGTGTCCGTTGATGGCACCATTTTCATCTTCAGACTCAACTTGACTGGATACTGCATCGTCTTCCTCTTCGTCGTCGTCGTCGTCTTCTTCCCCTTCCCCTTCCACTTCCAATTCCACTTCCTCGTCTTCGTCGCTGCTCGAGTTGTATAAGTCATCTCGGCCCACTACATTTCCTGTATACTTTTGACCTAAACTTGGCCCCTGTTGACTTCTTAATTTGGATTTGGGGGCAACTACATAGTGCTCTTTTTTCGACTCCTCATCTGATAATTCGTCATTCTCCGATGAGTTATTCTCCTCATGCTGAAATACGTTATCCTTGGCTGAACTGCCATTATCAAAGTCTTCTATGTCAAACTCGTTCTTTGGTTTATAGAAGCTCGCTATTTCGTCTGCAAGGGTTTTCTTTGCCATTAGGGATTAATTGGATGTGGTGTTCTGAGTAAGTCGAGATGCTCATCGTAGTTCCTTTTTATTTTTTTTTTTTTTATTTTTGTCTGTTTCAACTTTAGAGAGTCGGATAGGAAATGTTACCGATGGTCTACACTACAGGCACAACGAACAAGTGCTCCAGCTTGTCCAATAGAGTACATTACACTGGATACAAAACGGCTTTTGTAAGACAGCTGTTGCGCTATGAATTGAAACGATTGATCAGCACTCACAATGCAGTCCTTGCAAAACCCCTTGCAAATTCTAAGTTTCTTACACAATGTGGGCCCCAACTATCTTCTTCTAGCTTTGCTCGCTAGCGAGTCAAGATACCTGGATTTCAGCGGGCAACTCCAGTCCCACTTGAAAACTGCAAACACTGTATACCTCTTCACGTGATGACTTCAATGTATATGGGCGTGTACGTGCGCGATTTGTTCCCCTGATTTCTCCCTTTGCTCTTTTCTTTTTTTTTCTTTTTTATTTTTTTTGTTTTTTTTTGCCTATTGTTACAAAATCCGCAAGGGACAACAAAGGCTCTAAAGAGTAAAAAGAGAGAGAAAAAAAAAAAAAAGTAACAACATTTGTAGGCTGTGAACTTAATACTCTTTCCCATAAGTTCTTCTTTTCTGACACTTGCACCAATACACCTACACAACGACAGATAGCTGAAGTCAATAAGGCAACTCATCAACATTCGCTGAAATTACTAGAAAAATAAAAAGGATCCACCACGCTGGTCGAGACATTCCTTCCTTACACACTTTATTAAGCCACGAGAAACACTCTTAAAAGGAAAACCCACATCTTATAAACATGCAACTTTTATACACGCTATTGACCCTTCTCCTGTATGCTTTTATGGCACATGGATTAGCAAACCAAGGTGCCGGTGGAGGTGCTGGAGGTGATGCCAAGACGAGCTCAAACACCATAGTCTGGATCACTACAACCATCAATGGAAAATTAACGACTGCTTCTACGACTTTTAGTCAAACGTTCATGTCCACGTACACGGATGCACAAAGTGACGCGGTTGAAAGTGGAAATATCGGCATGGGCTCGTTGAGTGGATCAGTTGGGGGTGTGAGGTCTTATGATAAAACCACTATATCGAGTGGCGGTGCCGATGCTGCTGCACCTGCCGCTTGTATGACGCATGGTATATATGCAGGATTTGCAGGAGGGATCGCTGTGTTGTTGGGATTGTTGTAGATGTATAGCTAGATTTTAGAAGGAGAGGATTACGGTTTATTGAGCTATGCTTTGTAGGTTCCCATGGGTGGTATTAAGTGCAAAGAACAAGGCATGTGCTTTCATTCAAGACGGAGTCCTAAGAAGCTTCGTAGACCGCAAATAAACCCGTTTACGGTGCTTCTGTATCGAGTTGTCAATCCAGGCGTCTTGAAAGTTTGCGAATGCCCATAATTTTGCTTTAACACGCTCAAAATAAACAGCGTAGTGGGCGTTGTTACAGTCCCACTCTGGGTAGACCACTTACGAGTTTGCCCTCACTGTATCCACTACAGATGTTATACTTATTGACATTGACTGTGACGATAGTTGTCGAGTCGTGCAAAAGTGTTGATACTTTTTTTTTTCTGTCTCTGCATTTCTTTGATATTTTTAAAATTTTTCTCTCTTTGCAATTGGAAAAACCCATTTGGTGTCAAAAGAGTGTCGTCATTTGAATATACAAACTCGTATGTGTACATCTTCCATCCCGAGGCTATTGCCCACGTTGTCCACAATGCTTTTACTAACGATTATAGACTATGTCTGAAGAACTTGCTCAAAAAACTGAAGATTTGTCCTTGGATTCAAAACAACAATCAGACAAGACTGTCTTCGACTCGAAAGATGAGTTTACTGCTAAGCATCCATTGAACAGCAGATGGACCTTGTGGTACACTAAGCCTCAAACCAGCAAGACGGAGAATTGGCATGATTTATTGAAACCAGTCATAACCTTCTCATCAGTAGAGGAATTTTGGGGAATTTACAACTCCATCCCACCAGCAAATCAATTACCTTTGAAATCAGATTACCATTTGTTTAAGGAAGGTGTCAGACCAGAATGGGAAGATGAAGCCAATGCAAAGGGAGGAAAATGGCAATATTCTTTCCGTAAAGGTGAAGCCACTCCTATCATTAATGACTTGTGGTTGCGTGGTTTGTTAGCCGTTATTGGTGAAACTATAGAGGATGATGAGAATGAGGTTAACGGAATTGTCATCAACATTAGAAAACAAGTTTACAGGATCGGTATTTGGACTAAAGATTGCGATGAGTCAAAATTGAAGACTGTGGGTGAAAGGTTGAAGAAGATTTTGAGATTAAGCGATGATCAGAAAGTTGAATTCATTTCTCACGATGCGTCCAACATTAGAGGTGCAGAGGCTCAAATTGTATTGTAGTTAATGTAAGTCAGACTGGTTTTATAGTGGGTCTTGTTTTGTGTGTGTGTTTTTTTTTTTCGATTAATGTATATTTTCTAACGAATTTGGAGACCAACAAAGGTTTACCGTATCTTTAATAATCGCTCGCTTAAAAGCCGATAGGGTTTACCTTGTCTCTGATAAATGTATGAATTGTGTCCCAATAACTCTCTTGCAAAACAGTGTCATTGTGGGAACTGTTTTCAAACTCGACAATCTCCTTACAGTCACTTGGCAACTGGCTGTAGATTTCATCCATATGTTGTGGTGGAACAATTTCATCTTTTCGGGCACTGAGCAACAATATGGGGAGCTTTGGTGAGATGCTTGAAAGTAGCAGCTCCAGGTCCCATTTCTGATGCACAAAACTGGTTATGTACTTCAAAATCGGGAAAATGTGTGGCACCGTCTTTGGGATTGATAAAAATGTGTTTTCCAAAATCATTCCATCGATGTTCGCTGACTTCGTTGCAGCGATGTAAATAGCAACTGCCCCGCCCAAGGATCGTCCATACAACACTATTGAAGATTGGTGGTACTGATCGTCATTTTCAGACAAATACTCAAGTACAGTGTCTGCATCTATCTTCAACCCCACTTCACTTGGTGCCCCTGTTGAGTGCCCGTATCCCCTATAGCTGTATATAAAGACATTGTAGCCGAATTTCTTGTAAAATATGGAAGCAATGGGTAAACTGTGACCAATGTTTCCCGCGTTGGGCGAAAGTATGAGTACTGTTTTGTTTGTGTAGTTGGGGCTCTTGCGATCCTGTTTCATAGAGTAGCATTGAAGAGTCTCTCCGTCACTTGTGGTGAGTTTGACTGCTTCATAAGGCATCCCATATTCATCCGGTGTAGCACAATAACCATGTCCGTCATTCAACGAGGCGGGGTAAATTAGCGAGCTTTGATAGTAGTAAAGACCGAATAGTGCTAAGAAAGCCATTCCACCACCAAGCTGAGTCGCGGTCTTGGCTAAGTTATATGCTGTCCAGGTCATGGAGGTGAACGGAATCTCCAGCGATGCTAATGGTGAGGAAAGGTTGGGGGAAAATAACCAAAAAAAAAAAAAAAAAAAAAAAAAAAAAGTTGAAAAGCGCCCCAAAAGTTACTCTGCTCGGAAATCTATGAAATATCATTCAATGTCCCAAAGCTCACAAGGTCAATACAAGTTGGCAAAGTTTGCATTTAATATATATGGATCTCTAGGGACACCCCAGTCCAATGAATCCGTTTCGCCCAGCTCGTCATTAAATTCAAGAAACTCAAAACAGCTTCCTGCTCATTTCGGTGATAAGGTTGACCAAAAACCAGTATTTACATGCGAACGCGAGACCCAAGCATTGTCACAGCTCAATGTTGGTGTACAGGTAAGCAACTACAACACTGGCAATGACATTCGACATCATGCGGTGGTGGGAGGGAAAAACTACCTTCGTTTATTGTGTATGAACGAGGACCAACTGAGAGTGTTACAAGAGATTAATTTGCTAGATACAAAATCAATATACACTTCGAGAGCGTCAAATAAACTAAACAATATCAACACCATCCGGACACGTTCAAACACTGTTGCCTGTGGGCTTGCAAACGGGGCTATTTTGGTGTACAAGGTTTCACCGACTGGGCAAAGTAAATTACAGACTCGATTCACAGAACACAAGCGAAGTATCAACTCCCTTGACTTTATTGACTCGGAGAATGTCCTCGTTTCCGGTTCTCAGGATGGAAGTATGAAATTGTGGGATCTAAGAACCTCGGTAACAAAGCCAGTCTTGTCGTTACACGCTGCATTGCATAATGATCCTATCAGAGCATGTCAATATAGTCCTCATTCAGCAGTTAGAAACAAGATATGCATATTATCTGTACACGATTCAGGAGCATTGTGTAAATTTGACTTGCGATCTAATTTATCAAGCAATGCACAAACTCCGGATCGTAAATGGACTTTGCATTCAGGGCCTGTTTTGTCTTTGAATATACATCCAGAAAAGGAGTATGTTGCAACTGGTGGTAGGGATCAAAAAATTTGCATCTTTAACTACAGTGATAGTCAGTCTTCTACGAGAACTACCCCCGAGTCTATGATAAATACATATGGATCAATTTTGAAGGTACGCTGGAGTCCTTATTCGAACCATAGCCAGAAGCGAGGCGAATTCAATGACAGAAGTGCAAGTACATTGTCAAACTACGACATTGCTTGTCTGTACCTCAACGACGATCCAACAATCACCACATTCAACCTAAATCGAAAGTATATCCCAAAGCGCATCGTTCATTCTTACGAACGTAGGCCTGTATCCAACTTTGTTTGGGCTCATAACGAAGATCATTGTCACAAAATATGGGCATTGACTAAATCCAATGTGTTTACAACGTACAATCTAGACCTGCAGCGAGATCCAGATGTTAGCAGACCCTTGGAGGATTTGAATAGCATTGCAATGACCTGGGATTCCAATGACAACTTCATGATGGTTAATCAGGACAAGTATCACCTTGGCTATGGAGAGGAGTTTGGAACTGAAGTGTATGACCTGGGGGATGAGCGTAGCCATCACAATGATCACGATGACACCGAGCTACTGGCAAGCTCACTTGGTGCGTCTCCAGTTGAAAAGCCACTGTTGATCAGGTCATATTCTTATAACCCCATGCTGCAGCTAGGTGCAAAGTCTCCTCCTCCAATCTCAAGGCACATGAATTCTTTTGAGCCACCCAACTCTTCCGGGTCTGTTTATGGAGCCAGACGGCCAGTGCTCACCAAAAACCCCTCGCAGGAATCTCTAACGTCTTTTGGGTCTGCACCTCCTCCAGCTTCTGCCATAAGAGCAAGAAAAGGTTCAAAAACAACGACTCCATTTTACTCCCCCTATGTTGTGCCTGTGGCATTGCCATTGCCGTCAAGCGATGGCTACATACACCACACTTTGTCAAATGGTTATTTGATGTCAGTTCCTGATGGATTCGGCGTATATGACGTTTGCATTTTTAATTCCAATGTGGCCAATGGTGTTGGACTTCACCGTACCTGCCAAGTGTGGAAGATGTTGGCAGAAAATCTTCCCCTGGGATTAACCAGTCCGAAACAGTACATCGAAGAGCCCGTTGAAGCAACTGTGGATCCTCAACAACAAACGAACTCGCTGTCACATATAGACCAATCCATTCAATCAGATTTGGGAAACGTTATCGGCTCTTTCAACTCAAACTCTACACATACCAACCATTTTGGAAACAGTTTGGGTAGGTCGCCAAGCGACAGTGTCTCTCATTATATTGCTTCCCTGGCAAAGAATAGTCGCACAAATAGCTTCACACGGGTAAGAGATGCCCATGAAGATGTTCAAAGTCAGCATTCCAGATCTCGACCGATTCTGATAAAGTCTGAAAAGCAATTGACTGACTTCCAAAGGGAAAATGTTGATTTGATGAGTGCTGCCTTCCCCACTTCTAGTCCCAACTCAAGTGGATCTCCCAATTTCAGCAACAGTGTTGGGTCCATATCGAAATCTCCACGAGATGCGATGTCGAGCAAGTTGCAACCACAAGATCCTACTGTGGGAAAGTTGCCGGGAGGAAATGAAGAAAAAGTAAGCGAAGTGTTTCTGGTTCATTCCAAGTTGTCAGCTTCTTTAAACTCTGACAAGGAGCGAGTCTGGAGTTTCCAGAATTTGTTGAGAAAGTCTCTTGACTATGCACAGTTGCAAGGAGATATTGTCTTTTGCTCAGTCGTGGGTCTTTTATTCTACGAAACGACTACAGTCATTACAAAGGAAGAGTGTTTGGATTGGTTGCTGATGTATATTGATATATTGCAGAAAAAGCAGCAATTTGTAATTGCTACAAACGTTATAAACTCTGCGCCGTTAGAATTACAACAGGAATTGACAAAGCGGTACACTTCCGACTTGATAAGACTTTACTGCTCGTTCTGTTCCAAGTTGTTGGTCAATGAAGAATCAAAACACAATGGAAAAGGTGAGTTTGGGTATTGGTACTGCGATTCGTGTCGCAAAATGCAGCTGAATTGCATCTACTGTAACGAGCCAAGTAAGGGCTTAGTTGTTCTCGTGAGTTTGAAATGTGGCCACCGAGGACACTATGGTTGTTTGAAAGAATGGTTTGTCGATGGAGGGAATTCGGAATGTCCTGGTGGGTGTGACTACAACGTATTGCTGGCCTAAATGAGTATTATATCTCCAATTTCTAGATATTGCTTAATCAAGCTGTACTTGACCACGTAGACTCCATTCTTTACCAACTCCAACTCATCGTCCTCTAAATGAAGTAGTATTGGTGTTTCGGATGTACATTTAATAAATACAAATTGGTCAATATCGGGAGCGACAATCATATTTTGCCCCCCACTGTTGTCATCCAAGTAGGTTAATATCTGCGGTAGTTTTTTGAGGAAGCAATTGTTGTACAACAGTGTTAACAACAGGTAATATTGATGGATGTATTCCTTTTCCTCCGAGGATAGAAATTCTGCTCCCTCCCCTTCGTCGTCCTCGCTGTTGCTCTTGTTGATGTAGAAAATAGTAAATTTGTTCAACTTCGAGAGCCTCGTACGCAAGTACAAACGAACAATGTAGCTCAACCTCTCCACATCAGTTTCAACAATCATTAGCTGCAACTTGAAATCGCTCGAGATGATTCCATTTGCACTGTTCATTTCTCCGTACTCATGACTATCTAGTAAATACTGTTGTTGATTCGAAATATGCGTCAAGATTGAATTCATCAAAGTTGCCTTGTAAGGAAGTAGCTCAGGCGCCATTCGCTCATTCATTGCAGCCGTTATGAGATCTTGGCTAATGTTTGAGGAGCTCTCTTGTAACCTCTTGGACGCAGATTCCTCAAACTCCTGTAGGATGTCGTCAATATTCATTGCAATGGTTTCGGACGTGGGCAGTGACTGGTGATGAAGAAGATTCGGAGAAAAAAAAAAATAAATAAAAAAATAAAAAATTTGTGTCGACGCGTCTTGTACGATCGCAGACCAGTTTTGCCTGATAAAGATGGTGACATGTCCGAGGAGAGACAACAATTACTAGAGCAAAAGCGGAAGAGGTTACAGGAATTGAAACAGAGAAGGAATGCTCAGACATTTACTCAAGTTTTCGAAAAACCAGAAGGAAGGCACTTTGGTGTGAGTGTGGGAACGCAGACCACAAATGAGCACCAGAGTAACTCAGAGCGTGTTATACCCGTGGCACCCACTTCACTGGAGTCCCAGTCACGGCGAGTTGATCCGCAGGTGACAAAGTTTGATGTTGGGATACAGGTTGCAAGTTCTGCCGATGCGGAAGTGGATGAGTCTAATGATGAGAAAAAGACACGGTTGGTGGTCTTATCTCCACCAATCTCGAAGAAAGAAATCTCTACCCATGAGCTAAACGATGCATTACTAAAATCAATCAAACTCATAAACCAGTTACAAATACATCACTTGGTTGATCTCAATGAGGAAAAGGTTGAATCTAGACCTAACACGTCCTTTGTCGTTGAGTCTCATTTGTTCAAACTCGATAGGCGAATTACAGATGTTGATGTGTCGTCGCATAAAAAGGACCAATTTGTTGTCAGTTTTGCAAAATCTTCCACGGAAAACTATGATGCGATAGTCTTTGATCAAGTACGAGGGAAATTGGTTCCAATCAATTATCTAACTTGCATCCCAGCTGTTTCAAAAATAGGCTTTGATGTCAATAGTCCCAACCGTGTCATTGGAAGTTCAAGTAACGGTGGTTTGTGTATTTGGGAGACTCATACTACTTCCTTGATGCATTCGCCAACATTGTCAACACCCTCAACGTTTTTAATTGCCAAAAGAGACTGGATACCTCATTTGGATGCATTGGTGTTGTTACAGCCACTAAAGCTTGACACTAATGAATGTATTTTGACGATGTCAAAAGAAGGTGTATTGAATATATGGTCTTCCAATGTGTTGAGTCGTCCAAAGTATTCAATCAAGTTGTGTGATGACGAATCGAAAAAAGTTCGGATATCAAAAGCATTGTATCTTGGCAGTGAAGCTTTGATTGGAGAAATCAATCAAAGTGCGTTGAAAATGGTTCTTGCTGGATTTGATGGGAAATTGTATAATGAATCATGGAGCTTGATTCATGAAGATGAGCATGAACTGGTGATTAATTCTCTAGAGACTGTTGGTAAAAACTTGGTTATAACTGCCCATTCAGATTGGAATTTGCGGTTGTGGAAGGAGGAGCAAGTGGCGCCATTCAAGGTTATATCTACGGCATACGTTGTCAACTACATTGTCAAAAGACCACATATGGATTATCAATTCATAACGGTCGGAACATTTAAGCAGAAATTTCATGTGGATTTTTGGGATCTCTCAAAAAAAGTGTATGCACCGTTATTGAAAATAGTGGAGGAAGTGGAGCCCGTACTTGGTGTCAAGTTTACTGGGAGAAACGGCATTTTGATTGTCAAAAAGATGCTGCTTTCACTCCATCTAACTAATGAAGACTACAATTGGCAACTTTCGAAAAACAGTTTTGATAAAGGTCTATAAATTATACATAGCTGAATAAATTGTCCCTTGACGTTATCCGGAGAGACCTCGATAAGTTCAAGTCAGACTTTTCTTGGTGCAAATTGACACAGTCGTTTGTTGCAAGAACCAATAATTCAAAAAAGCATCTGGATGCCTGTCGTTTCGAATTGACGTAGTTTTTGTTCTTTACTCCCAAAGGTCTCAATGCTGTTTCATCGGCTTTCACGAAATCTTCAAATTGCACCCTCGCGTCTAATCTGAACAAGTCCTGCAACTCCTCTGCCGCTTGCTTCGTACTCTTGGCAACACCACCCACTCTGTCCGATCCAAAAGATTCATCTACCGATTCTTCCTCGTCATCTTCTTCCTCTTTATCATCAGCTTTGCGCACTTTTGGCGCCGTATCCTTCTCGCTTTCACTGTCAGACCCACTAATATCGTCCATGGAATTATCGATGCTATCGTCATTGTCATCAGACGAGCTGTTGTGCTCATCGTCATCGTCGCTATCAATATCTTTCAGTGGCAACCTAAAGTGTAAATCAGCACTAAAGTCCCATAACTTGCGCTTCTTCGAAGCAGTTGGAAAAGACATTTGTTGGATTAGTAGCAACTTATCATTGTTTGACATATTTGTGTTAGTGGACCGGTCGATATCCTTTTGAGCTAGCATGTTTTGTTCATTGTCTCTTAAAGTGTCAAGTGACAATTGTAAGTGATCTTGGGAATCCACCACCAATCTTTTGTTTACAACCACCATCTCGCCGTCATCAGTTATTCTTGCTCTCCTTTGTCTTTGCCTTGCTCTTGGCTGTATCTGTTGAGTTTCGCTGAGCGTGTTCTCGTTGTTCACCACGCTAGAGGACGACATGTACCCTTCATCAAAATCGATATCAAAATCGTCAATTGTTTGCAATGGCTGGCCCAAATCCAATTCAAAGATATTGTTGGACTTGTGAAGGTCCCCCATCATTGAATTGTGGCTATCATTGCCGCCGGCATTGGAAACATTTCTTCCGAGCTCGATTGAGCCCGCAAAACTTTCACCGCCGTCATCTAAATTCAAATCGAAATCCAAGTCAATATCTTCATGATCGTCAGCGGCAGCATCGGCGTTGTTTATATTTCTTCCGTACTCAACGGATCCAACAGATGTATCAACTCTCAGGCTATCGTTCTCATTGTTAAAGACTGTATCCAATGGATTGATTGGTTCCTCTTCAAGCTGTAAATTTTCCTGCCATAACAAGTCAAATCCTGTAACTTGATCCTTCAATGTGATGGCATTCAAATCGGCAATTGTAGTCTGTTGTGGCGGTAAATTGACTTTGCTGGATAAACCCTCAGGTCCAAGTTGGACACCACTTGACATCCTGAATACGGTTCTGAGTTTGTACAACACATCATTAAGGTCGTCTAGTAAGTATTTTGTTTTGCGTGAATATATCTTTGTCACACCCAAAAGCAATTGACCAGATAAACGCAATGTAATCGCATCCATTTCGTTGCTTGAGGTGTTTGACAATCCATTTTGAGTTCCTTGTTGTTGTTGTTGTTGTTGTGTATGGTTACTGATGTACTTTGCCGATTCAACGATATTGGTGTTTAGAAGCTGGTGTTTGGTTAGTTTCTTGTCGTAGTTGGCGGCAAGCCAAATGTCACCTAATGGACCGTCATTGGTTATTAACGACGTATTGAGCATCTTGAATGAGCGAATGAATAAAGTGAAGGAGTGTGTGGTGTGTGTTCAGGTGCTTAGAGCGAACGTAAGAGTCCTGTAGGTTGAAATTTTAATCAGTGAGTGCTACAGTAGCTATGATTTTGAAATATTTTTGAATCTGGCGCTTCGTTTGTTTACAATTCCTTCAAAACCCTTCACTTCTAATATTGAAACGCGACAAGAAAAAGAAAATAAAAAATAAAAAACAAAAAGAAAAAAAAAAAAAAAGACCGTGTTTTCTCTGATACGGTAGCGCAGCTCTGTCTCTTTCGCTGGTAGATCCGTCTTTCAAAGTGGTTTACTTCTTAGAGACAATCTGCAGAAGTTAGTTGGCTGTTGTACTCAGAAGATGGTCAGACACGCCTTGAGAAGTAATTGGTTGCAGTTTACATAAGCTCCGTAAAAAAAATGTTTGTTTGTTAGTTTGTTTTCCAACGTTGAAGTAAAATTTTGCCATGAATTGCTGCAAAAATGATTGATTGGAACATACACAACAAATTCAACAACTCTATCAGATTCATAATCTACAAACACTCTGAACTTACATGGTATAAGCAGCATTTACTACATCAAATGATGAAGAAGAGTACTGAAAAAGTGTTGCACAGCTTCTGCAGCTATAAACAGGACCAACTTCCCGTTTCAACACTTTAGAGACATTTACACAAGAGTGGCCAAGCCTATTTTTCGTCCTCGATATTTGTGTGTGTGTGTGTGTGCTAACCGAACTTCCCTGACTCTTTTATCTGCTGGTATTGCACGTGCCAGTTTCGGAGAAAGACGAACAAGACAAGACAAAAAAAAAAAAATGAAGCTTGAAAATACGAGGCACACTTCAAATATACCACTAGGAGTCATACTGTTGCGTACACAAATGTCGGCTAATCTACAAACCAAGCTAGAGAACTCTCTCAATGAAGTTCTAAAAACTGCAGGCTTTATATTCGAGGTCATCAATAATAACAAGAAGCAGAGTGCTTTAATAACAGGCCCCAATAACCAGCTAATACAGCCGACAATTATCAAACAACTAACAAACCACATCAATGAGTTCGATTCAATACTTGATGAAACTGTTTTCAAATTCAATGACGCAAAATGGTGCATTGATACAATGATAGAGAATAAGCAGAAACAAGAGGAGATGAAAATAAAGGAGGAACTAGAGAGGCAGAAACGAGAGGCCGAGGCGAAGCGATTGAAAGAAGAGAAGGAAGCTAAGAAGAAAGCAGAGGAGGAGGCTGCAGCAAAAGCAAAACTAGAAGCGGAAGCCAGGTCGAAGGCGGAAGCAGAAGCAAAAGCCCAAGCGGAGAAAGAGGCCATCGAAGTAGAACGACAGAGACAAGAGGAGCAAGACAAGAAAGAACGCGAAGAGGCCGTTGAGAGAGAGCGGAAGGAGACAGAAGAGAGGAGTAGACAAGAGCAGCAACAGAAGTTGCAACCCCAGAACCAAACGCAAAAACAATTTGACAACTTTGATGACTTGATGGATTTCAACATGGATGATCTAGGTCAAGATAATGACAATGCAGCCATCAACGACCAGAACGACTTTTTGGCATCTATGAATTATGACAACATGAACATGGACATGGCCTTAGAAGATACAAACAAAGCCGACAATGGTGTATTTGATGATTTCAATATCGATGACTTAGACACAGGCAATAATGAGCCGAATAAATTGGCAAGTGCCAACAATACCAACGAAAGCACTGCTAGCAAAAAGAACAATCCCCACAATAAACCCGTAGAGAATGTGGATGACATGGGTTTGGATATGAACAATTTACTAGGCAATGATGAGCTGATACTAGATGGATTAAACATGAGCTTATTAGAAGGCGGACTCGATGCTGGGGACGATGCAGGTAACCCCATCGATTCACAGTTGGGTGACGAATTTGATGTTGACAATTTTTTGAATCAGTTTGGTAATTAGAAGAAGAATGTGTGTACGTATTAGGGAGTAATTTTTGAACCTCTTGGGTTTGCTTTTTCTACTCTACTCCCAATTTGGAAGTCTACGCGGCAAACCAATTATATCGAAGCAGGATACATTAGTACTGCATACAAATTTGTTCTGTTTCGGTCAAGTGAAGAACCAGAGAAAAAAAAAAAAAAAAGAGCGAGTCAAAAGAAAGAGAGAGAGGGAGAAAAAAAATTGGAAAAACCGTAGACACCATCTAATCCCAGTTCAAGTTCGAACCACACAGAGTCACAATGTTTAGACAATCTTTACGTCAAGTCTCCAAACAATCCATATCGGCTGTGAGAAGAACCTACGCTACAGAGGCTGCACCATCATCCGATGCCTTGAAGTTGTCGTTGGCTTTACCATTCCAAACTTTATTCGCTGAGTCTGAAGTTCAACAAGTAAACTTGCCATCAGTCAATGGTGACTTGGGTATATTGGCCAACCACATTCCAATTGTAGAGCAATTGAGACCTGGTTTGTTGGAAATCATCTCCAAAGGTGGTGAAACCGAACAATACTTTGTTAGTGGAGGTATTGCCATGGTACAACCAGGAAACAAGTTGACTATAAGTGCAATTGAGGCTTTCAAGCCAGATCAAATTGATGCTTCTGCCGTTAAGAATTTGATTGCTGATGCACAAAAGAGAGCTGAATCTGGTGATGAAACTGTTGCCGCTGAAGCTGGTATTGAATTGGAGGTATTGGAAGCCTTGCAACACGTTGCTAAGTAGAGATGACGTATATGGGTGTAGGGCGTAGCCTTGGAATGTATGATACAGGTGTATAGACGATATACGTGAGATCACCAGATTGTATAATTCCTGTATAGAAATAAAAGTGGGTTATCATTTTCAGGAAATTTATCACCCCTCTCACCCGCACTTTCTACTCAGGTTATCACTCATTAGCAATTTCTTCAAAAGCTCACCTGCAGCTCTGAGTCCAAGTAAATGAGTAAACATCCAAGTATTCGGGAAAATTGTGTTTATTATCCGGAGAAATTGCAAAAAAAAAAAAAAAAATTTTTTCTTTTTTCTCCATTGTTGGGGACGACGTTGAAGGAAAAATGACAGCAAGGTTGATATAAACAATCTCTCCGGTCTGTGACCCGAAGGGGCTGCTAGTGTAGATCCAGTGAGCACTGTTTACCAAATACGAGTCTCGGTAAGATTATTCCTTCTATGTTGGGGAGGGGGTGGGAAAAGTAGTTTACGGATTAGAAACATACGAAAATCAAACGTTCCCGCAGCAAAAGGGTTCTGTGTCATGTTGTGTATATCGCCTATATAAGGTTACGTTCTTCCCTCCTTCCCCAGGGGGCAATTAATTTTTTTCTCTTCAAACAGTTCTTTCCAATCCAACTATAGCCAAATATGTCCGATAATCAGCATGGTAACCCATCCTTGGTCCTCAACAAGATTGACGATTTGTCGTTTGAAGACTTGTCAATTCCCCAAATCAAAGAACCAACTGATGTCATTGTCGAAGTGAAAAAGACTGGAATTTGCGGTTCGGATATTCACTATTACGCACATGGTAAAATCGGACAGTTTGTCTTGAGAAAGCCAATGGTCATGGGCCATGAATCGTCGGGTGTGGTTAGCAAAGTCGGTCCAAGTGTCAAGCATTTAAAAGCTGGTGATAGGGTTACTATTGAACCGGGCGTTCCATCGAGATATAGTGACGCCTACAAGTCCGGCAAGTACGAATTGTGTCCTTGCATGAGCTTTGCCGCTACTCCGCCAACAAACCCAGAAGACGAAACTGCTCAGGGAACCTTGTGTAAGTACTACAGAGCTCCAGCCGATTTCCTTTACAAGCTACCAGAGAGTGTCAGTTTGGAACTAGGAGCCATGGTTGAGCCATTGAGCGTTGGTGTCCATGCCATCAAACTAGTCAACTTGTCCTTTGGGGAAAACGTGGTCGTTTTTGGTGCCGGCCCTGTTGGATTATTGGCTGCATCTGCCGCAAAGGTTTACGGAGCACAAAATGTTATGGTTGTGGACATTTTCGATGACAAGTTGGAATTGGCCCAGGAGATTGGCGCTGCCACACATGTTTTCAACTCGAAAACCGGTGACTACAAAGACTTGATTAAAGCTTTCGGAGATGTTAGACCTGATGTCGTTTTGGAGTGTAGTGGCGCTGCTGCATGTATCAAATTGTCGGTTCAGGTTGTCGCTGACGGAGGGAGAATTGCCCAAATTGGTAATGCCGGTGGCGACGTTCCCTTCCCAATTATTGAATTTGCCACCAGAGAGATAACCTTGTTTGGCAGTTTCAGATACGGTTACGGTGACTATGCGACTGCAATCAAAATCTTGGAACAAAACTACGGCCGTGGAAAAGAACACATTTTAGTTGACTTTGAGAAATTGATCACAAACAGGTTCCCCTTTGATGACGCTATCAAGGCCTACGATACCGTCAGGGCAGGAAAAGGTACTGTCAAGTGTATAATTGATGGTCCAAAGTAGATTTTTTGTATGTCGTAGCTACCAATCGAACTGAAAAATTTAATCGATATTTTTTTTTTTTCTTCTTCTTCTACTTCTTCTACTTCTTCTACTTCACTTTTTGAATCCCTATTCTTTAACACTCTACAGAACCCTTAGTTTGCACACATCTACAATGTCTCTTACGGCCAAGGAGGCGTTTGCAAAGCTTCCTCAGAAGCTACATAACTTTTTCATCAAGTACCCACCAAGACCATTTTCTGAGTACAAGAACGGACCATCGGTGATATCTGACCCAAAGAAAAATCCCTTTTTCCCAAACAAGAATACAGAGACAGGAAGGTGGCACGGCTCGCTTTATTCACGTAGAAGATCTGCTGACTTGTTCAAATTGGCTAAGAAGTTTGGCATACAAGACCTTTTACCACCAACCCCAAGGAAGTTCCACGAGGACAAATACAACAACAAGAAGTGGATGCAAGGTATGGTTCAACCAGCAGGCAGAGCTGATCAAGCGGAATTGGAGGAGAAGTTTAAGAAGAGAGAAGAAGCAATTAAGAACATGGACAAGATCATTGCCAAGGCAAGACCAGGTTATAAGAAATTGTTAAAGAAGAGAGAAGAAAGAAAGCCTACATGGTTTTGAAAATGTATATAGAAAATTTGATTTGATTTTACCTTATATTTATTTGTAATTTTCTTCTTGCTAACGGCCCCTACCACGTCCCCTTCCTCTTAAACCTCCACGTTTGACGGGTTTTGCGCTTGGACCTGCACCGTGGCCCTTTAGCTTTGTTTGAGACTTCTCCAACACGCTCTCGATGTTTAAGTCTTCGGGTAGTAATATCTGTCTGATCTGGTTCCCCCGAATGTTGATGTACTGTAGCAATATCGGGTCCTGGTACTTTTGTTGTAGTTTAACGTTCTTTAAATTTAAATTCATCAGCGGCGTACACGACAAGAGAGTGCCGTTGATGACATTACCATTTTTTAATTCAACAGTAACAGGCTGGTTGGTGGAGTTGGGTATGTTCATCAAAAATCGTACCAATTTCATCTTGTCAATGGGGACTGCTGCAGCCTGGTTCAATGAGCTTGGGAACAGTAGAGTGTCAACTTTTTCTTACCAGTGTTTATTTCGCTGTTCATTTTTTTTTTATTAATTTTTTTTTTTTTTTTTTTTACTATAAAGCCAAAGGTGTTGAAGGCACACACTTCCACGCAAGCCTAAATGACCAACACATTGATAGATAATATAAAAAGCATTCCGCCGGTGACCCGGTTCTTTACTATATCAACTGTATTAGCATGCTTGGGAGTGACTACGTTTTCGGCGTTTCCTGCATTATACATCAATCTAGGCGAATTATTGAATGAATATGTGTTAATACGAGCCGTGTTCCGATACGGGCTGTATTTTGACATTTTCAAGGTTGTTGCCACCAGTGTTCTCAGCTGGTACAGATTTGTCACTTCTTTTTTGATCCCACCGGGGATCATGTCCCCAAACAGAATCAATGCCTTATTTGACGCCTATTTCTTTTACACTTTTTCCAACCACTTGGAAGCACACGAGGGCAAATTCAATGGTAATTTTCCTGACTACTTGTGGTTCATTATCTTGTGTGGGTCTTGTATCCAGGTACTCAATCTAACGTTGGAAGCTATCACCGGAGACTCTTATTTCCCGCACGAGAACTTACTTGCCTGTTTGACATACGTCTGGTCAAGAAGTTTGAAGAACGCAAGAATCAACTTGTTGGGCTTGGTCCCTATAAAGGCGTATTACTTGCCATTGGGTAATTTGATTGTGAAACTCATTCTCGGAGGTCCTGTGTCGCTCATTGATACCTTGGTGGGAATTGTTAGTGGTTACTTGTACCTTTGCGTTCAGCTGAATACGATGCCAATCTACAATTTGTTACCAGGAGCTTATGGAGTTACAAAGAAGAAGAGATACGATGAAGGCAGAAGAGTTGGGATGACTCATGTGGATACCCCGTCGCACTTTGGTCAATTTCAGGCTGACTACATCGACGATAGCATATACGACAAGGGTTATTTAAAGGCCCCACAGTGGTTGTACAACTTTTTGTCATATCCAGCAAACACCTCTGTGAGGACTACGGCATTTACTGCGGCTCCGGCTCCTGGTGGACCCCTATCAAGAACTCAAGCCCAAAGACAAACGCCGGTTGGTAGTGCTACTACTGGGTATTCTTGGTTTGGTGGAAACGGTACAGCTTTCAGAGGAAAAGGTCATAGATTGGGTGACTAAGTGGAATGTGTGTAAGTTGTGTAAAACATAAGTTAGTAGTTTCTCAACACAGTATGTGCGCATGTTCGCAATCCAAAAAAAAAAATTAAAAAAAAAAACGCGGATTACATAGCTGATAATAAAATTACCCAAACACCGAAACTTTATCACACAATCAAATACAGGCAATTTGGCCATTGAGGATGTCTACACCGGTTACTGGAGGGCTGTCTAAGCCAACTACGCAACGAGCCTTTAGTGATGACCTTCGTGACCTCGGGTCGTCGGTTGCACTGCTTGCTGGGAGTACTTCCAGAAATAGGTCAACAAGTGTACAACGCAGAAAGTCAAAACCCACATTGAAAAAGGCTGGCAGTATTAGTCATCCCAAGTTGATATATTCAGTCGATGATGATATCAGTGAGCAAGTGAATGAGAATGGAGAAGGAGACAATGAAGATGACCAAGAATCCACAATTCGAAATGACAAGGATTATCTTGAAGGGTACCATGATGCATTGAGAGCTTTCCACCAGAGGAAGAGCAGTAAAAGCCCAATGAGACTGTATCAGGATTTTTCAGAAAGAACCCCATTGCGTACCCCTGCTGAATTAGCAGATATAGAGTCGGTAATTGCCAAAGATTTACATGAAGCGGAGCAAAACATCAAACGATTGAAAGCAACAGACCCCAAACGATTTGGTAGTGTGGATAAGTTGGACTTTATAGAAGACCACCAAGGTGATGAAGAAGCTGAAGATGGTGAAGATGCGGATGATTATGGGTCGATTCATTCCAACTCGTCTGCTGAGTCTTTGAATTTGAAAGATCGACAACATGCCATTAATGAGACACACCCTTTTGGTATAAAAATTTGGAAACCTTCCTTGTACAAAAAGAAAAGATCCGTTGCGGCAAGGGCGGATGAGGATATCCACGATTTTGATCCAAGGCGTCCAACTTCGTCCAGAATCTTTTGGGGTGTGAGACTTACTAATATCATGTGGAGCTTGACAGCTGGTTTGTTGATCTACGTTGCTTGTCTAATTGGTGCAGCTTTTGTTTTTGTGTTTTCTGGATTTGCTATCAGCTCTGGCCTGAGATTGTATGTGAGAGCGTTTTTAAGGTTGGGGAGATATTGGCTTTACCCGTTTGGAAAATTTGTTCTCTTAAATAAGGAGAAAAATTACATGGATGAGGACCAGTTGGAAGGGAGAACTCTCAATGAGTTTCATCAGTGGAGATTACAAGAGGAAGGGCGACTATTTTTTGCTCCTCCAAGGCGATACACAGGGTCAGCAGAAGAGTCAGCTCCCTTGATGAAAGACCACAAGGGAAGGCCCTTGAGAGACGCGTACAATTCATTGGCCACGGACAGCGAGCGAAGTGAACAAGTGCACGAGGGAGACGCAGACGAAAATGAAGAAAGCAACGATATCAAGGTGAGGTTCTTTGGCCGAGGTGATTGGACCGCGGGACGTATTGCATTTTACTTGTACTTTTACTTGATAGTGCAACCTATATCCTATTTCTTTGGTGCTCTAAGTTGGTTGATTGTTTTCACTATTCCCATGGCTAATATAACTTCAACATTAAACGACCATGTTAGACGCCATCCATTGGCGTTGGACTTTGAGATGGAAAAGGAATATTACAAAAGAAGAGAAAAGAACCCGTCATTGAAAAAGAAGAAGCAGGTGATCTTGTTGTGTACTTATAGGTGTTGTGGTTGGCATTACTACAAATACACTATTGATGGCACAAACATCTTTTTCATCAATTTACTTTCCATGGTTTTATTTGTCATTGTGGATTTCTACTTTTTAAAAGAGTCATTGCATTGGAAATCTTTCTTGACTGATGCAAACGTAATTTTCTGTTTGTGTTTATTCTCGATTATTCCTTTGGCGTACTTTATTGGACAAGCTGTTGCGTCCATTTCAGCGCAGTCTTCAATGGGTGTTGGTGCTGTTATTAATGCATTCTTTTCCACCATTGTCGAAATCTTTCTATATTGTGTCGCGTTGAATCAATCGAAAGGGAAATTGGTGGAGGGTTCCATGATTGGATCGATACTTGGTGGTGTTTTGCTTCTTCCCGGATTGTCCATGTGTGGTGGGGCATTGAAGCGGAAAACTCAGAGATACAATCCACGCTCCGCTGGTGTTTCTTCCACCATGTTGCTATTCGCAATGGTCACGATGTTTGCTCCATCATTGTTTTATCAAATTTATGGTTCGTATGAGATCAAATGTAGTGGATGTGATGAAGGAAAGGGCGTGGATGACTGTACAACGTGTCGGTTTACCCAACCATCTTTCTCATTAGACCCCTTGTATTACAAGGTCATCAAGCCATTTTCATTGACAGTGGCTATTGCATTGTTTGCAGCTTACGTATGTGGGTTGTTTTTTACTTTGAGGACCCATGCTTCGTTAATTTGGGCAACAAACTCACATGAAGCTGTAAAGAGAGAGGAGCATCAAAAAGCGCCCAGTATTGCTGACGCTCCCGTGCAGCAGCGGCAACAGCAACAGCTGTCGCAACAGAGGTTGGCGATTGCTCCTACAAGAAGTTTGGGCAGACGATCTGTTGATAGTATAATATCTGCATCAGAGACAGAAATAAACAAAGAAGGGAAGGAAGATGCAGGTGAGAATGGAGGTCACGACGCACCCAACTGGTCAAAAAAGAAATCAACAATAATTTTGTTAGGGGCGACTATCTTGTATGCTATTATTGCTGAAATTCTTGTCGATAATGTGGACTCCATTCTTGCCGATTTCCCAATTGATCCCAAATTCTTGGGGTTGACCATTTTTGCACTAGTGCCAAACACGACCGAGTTTTTGAATGCCATTTCGTTTGCCATTGGTGGTAACGTTGCATTGTCGATGGAGATTGGAAGTGCTTACGCATTACAAGTTGTTCTAATTCAAATCCCCAGTTTAGTTGTTTATTCTGTTTTGAAGGATTTTGTCAATGTCGAGCAGATATTCTCGTTAGTGTTCCCACGTTGGGATATCATTGCAACGTTGATATCTATTTATTTATTTACCTACATCTACGCCGAAGGGAAATCAAATTACTTCAAGGGGGTCATTTTGATTTTGATTTACCTAGTGGTAATGATTGGATTTTGGTTTAATGGAATCATCGAGGAGTTGGATGGTACTTTAGGAGATTATAAGGTGTTAATCGGTGGTTGATAGGATCGTAGTGAAGGGGAGTACTTTTTTCTTTTTTTTTTTTTTATTTAGCGCTTAATATTCTGTAGCATGTCTGCAAAATTCAACAAACGACGTCTTTCCAGAAACACACACTTCAGTTTCATCATGAATATGGACAAGTTTATTCTATTCGGGGACTCAATTACACAGTACGGTAACGAAATAGTTGACGGATTTGCCCTTCAACCTGAACTCCAAAACGCTTACATTAGACGACTCGACATTGTCAATCGCGGATTTAGTGGATACAATTCAGAGCACGCTAGATTGCTACTCCCCAAAATTCTTGACGCAGAGTTAAACGAAACAAGGGACAATGTGAAGTTAATGACGATATTCTTTGGTACAAACGATGGACTCGTTGGCGTCAATCCCATCCAGCCAGTCGAGCTATCAAGATACAAAGAGAATATCGAATACTTGGTTGAGTTGGCACTTGCAAACAATATCAAACCAATTGTGATTGGACCCAGCTTACACGATTACAAACTCGGAGCTGAGCATTTTGATGACTTGAAAGACACCGAGGCTGCCACTTGTGAACGATACTGGCACTACTCTGAGGGTGCAAAGAGTATTTGCCATAAGCTCGATGTTCCATTTATTGATTTGTGGGAAGAATTTAGACGAAATGGCGGCTGGACAATTGAACAATTGCTTGCACACAAGAAAGATTCTCCTGTTGCGGAAGTGAGTTCATTGAGCAGCTATTTGAATGATGGAATTCACTTCACCCCTAAAGCATACAAGATATTGCACAAGGCGATTCTCAAAACCATTGAGCAAAATTATCCTGAATATTTGCCTGAAAATTTGTCCTTCAAAACGGCTTATTGGCGGGATATAAACCCAAAAGATCCAAGCTCCATTTTCAAAGAAGAGAAGCAATTATACTTGTAGAATATTTCCAAACCCCCCCCCCGTCATATACACTTTATAGATCTATATTCTCAATCCGAGTCCAACTCAATTGTAGTACTCTCTTCTAAGTCCTTTTCGGTTTTGGCCCTTCTTTCATCTCGGGAACTTAAATAGAAAACCACCTGTGTTAAAATTAGTCCCACCGAAGCCAACACCGCTGTGTAAGTAAACCCAACAAAATACTCAGGTTTATCATTGGTATTCCAAACAAGAATGGGCACCCATGCGCCAGTAACGTATGCCAACGTGTTTGTAACAACAACAACGAAATTTCTCTTCAAGTCATCTGCGTATAGCAACCGGTTAACCCAAGAGAAGATGAATGGCTGGCCCCACATTGTAGGAACACCAATCAAGAAATATGAGAACCAGTGAAGCCCCAATGGGATTGTCCAAGCGGCAAGTAATGAGCATCCTATAATCACACACACGAAATAAGCATTGACAAACCACACATTCTTTCTGCCTCCTAGGATGTCGTTTGCATACGCAAATAATATTGTTATACCAATAGCAATAGCACTGAGAACCGACGGCCATGTATTGTACACGCTCGACGGCTTATGCAAGTAATTCTTCATGAAGGATTGGAAAGTAGGCTGCGAGTTGGCAGCACAACTATTATTGTAGCACAAGAATAATAGGGGAAACACGTAGATGTGCCACGTATTAAAGAATGATTTGATCTTTTGCCATGAAAAGGGCTGTCTGGTGTTTAGTTCAGCTCCTAGCAATCTTCTTCTTTCCAACCCCACCAACTTGTCCTCATCAGTGAAGTAAAAGGCATCGGTGGTCAGAGGTGTATTTGGATCAACAATCATGGTGTATATACCAATGGGGAAACTGATGACCGCGTCAAACACAAACATCCACTTGAAAGGTGGCAAGCTTGAGTGCTTGAACAGCTTGATGATTGCTTGTTGCAAAAGGGGACTGATAATCCCTGCTAGACCCGAACTAACTGCAAAGTATGACGACCGTTTCAGCAACTCGGGGGTACCGTAATTGGACCCCAACAAGTACTCCAAAGCAGGGAAATACCCAGACTCTAACAACCCTATGAAGAACCGCAACGCATACATTCCCTTGATATTTGTTGGTGGAACAGTAATCATCAACAACGTCAAAATCAGCCAGAGTATTTCCAAACCACCAAGGTAAAACCTGGCTGATATTCTGTGCAAGATCATGTTGGATGGAATTTGGCCAATGATGTATCCCACGGTGAATAATGTAACCATATAGTTGTATTGGTTATTATTCATACTGTAGTACTCCTCCATTCCGTTAACATAAGCAGTTGTGACGTTTGACTGGTTCAAGTTTTTGATGAAGTAGCCCAAACATGATGAAGTCAACAAGAAAAAGTCCAATTTGAAAAGGTACTTTTGCTCCTTGGGATGCTTCCCAGTACCGTCCCAGAAAAACTTCTTGATCTTGAATGAAAGAGAATTGTCTCTTTGTTGAATTTGTTCGGGAGTTAATGTTGAGCTTGAGATGTCAATGTATTGCGATGGAACTTGCTTTTGGACCACAGTAACATCATCTCCTTTAGTGGGGTGCAATGGTTGATTTGAAGATTGGGAAGAATTGGTTGAGACTGTTGTAAGTTTTCCCACATGTTCTTGAGCCAAGATTAGATTCTTCAAGTTGACCATGATGGGCAAAGGCTGCAATTTTGCAAAATTTTATCTTGGCAGGTTGGGGACCAAGATCTGACAGGAGAAATGCCACTGAGTATCTCTCTCTCTCTATATATATATATATATCAACACTCTACACCTGAGCTAGTGAGAGCCCAAGGCGATGTTTATAACCATGTTTAATTCTATTGTTTTAAGCATAGGCAGAGGAGGAGTGCATAGAAGAAAATTAATTGTGTTATTTGCAACTGATTAATAACTGTGGCGTCAACTAATATTTGCAAAGAAACACAACAATTGACATAACCAAGACTATAAGCGGGGCGCATTAACAGTGACCGATTTGTAATCAATTAATAGAGTAGATATACAATTAGCAAGTCCGACACTACTTGTGGGAGATTTCGCTCAATAGATTGATCGTTTTAGCAATGCTTCCCAATAAAAAAAAAAAAAAAAAGAAAAAATGTGGCGCAAATTGACAATAGACTCAGTAGAGATTGTAAGTTATTGTAATGCATCTCGAAGTATAATATGATGTTCTTCTTTATATCCAAGTCGCAAATTGACTTGTTTACCGCTGCCATATAACGAAACTTGTAATGTCACCTCCTTGCAAATATCAATGATAGCATGCTTTACAAACACCTCTTTGTTTGGCTGAGATACACCATTTGTGATACAGCTGCAAGTATTTCAATGCGCAACCCTTCAAGCTCACATGTGCGGCTTCTAAAAGACACAGTGTCTTTCATTGTGTGTGGCGTAATCGCTAATTCATATCTCGCAATTGTGGTTGCAAAAATAAAAGAATATAAAAACATCATGCCATTAATTTGCACCGCCGTGACAAAGTAGATCATACATGCAACTTCCAGGATCCAAGCTGTAAAAAAAAAAAAAAGAATTGGATTTGGATAGCACTTAAGGGCAAGTATTGTTTTCTCAATGCATTCGGTGTAGGAATGTGCTTTTCCTCAATTGTGGTGGTACAGCTCTTTCACGAAAAACAAATGAAGCCACAGCTACTAGGGTAATCTATTCTAAGCTTAAATAAATAGTCAAACACATATACATCACGACGCAAAAAGTAGCTCCAACATTGATGCTCCCCCCCCCCCCCAAAATGGGGTTCACATATCGGCCTGACATCGCCCCTGGTAGCGCAAAATCACAAAAATGACTCAAGTTCTGAAAAATTTTGGCAATCTCATTCAATGGCATAACTCCAGCTCACCAGTTTCGACATGACAACCTTTGAACAAAGAGAATTCACCATTGTGGTGAAGATAGGATCTTCATCCTTGGTTGATGCTGTCACCAGAGAACCCAGGATTGCAAATATGGCGCTCATTGTTGAAACTATAACCAAGCTTCGTCGTCAAGGACACAAGATCATCATCGTGTCCTCGGGTGCTATTGCATTTGGTATGAAGGTGATGGGGTTGCAAACCAAACCGCCTAAATTAGCGGCAGTGCAGGCACTAGCTTCCATAGGGCAAGGAAAACTAATAGGGTTGTTCAACGATTTGTTTCGTCAAATGGACCAAACCACTGCACAAATTTTGATCACAAGGAACGACATAGTGGACTACACTCAGTACAAAAATGCCAAAAACACAATCAATGAATTGTTAGAAATGGGCGTGATTCCAATCGTTAATGAAAATGACACCTTGTCTGTGTCAGAGATCAAATTTGGTGATAACGATACCCTATCAGCCATAACTGCAGGTATGATTCATGCAGACTACCTATTTCTCATGACCGATGTGGAATGTTTATACACAGAAAACCCAAGGACAAACCCCAATGCGGAGCCGATCTTGGTGGTTGACAATATTGACAATTTGAGTGTGAGCACAAGCGATGATGCTGGGGCAGGGTCGAATGTGGGTACCGGTGGAATGACAACCAAGTTAATTGCCGCAGAACTTGCAACCAATGTTGGCGTCACGACAATTGTCACTTTGTCAACTCAGCCACATTACATTCTCGATATAGTTGCTCATATACAGTCGCAAGATGAAGCATTGACTATTTCCGAACAACGAGAGGTTCTACAAAGGGACATTCAGAACAAGATTATTCCATTGCATACTAGGTTCCTTGCTTTGCCTCAAGATACCCAAATCAAATCAGATAGAAGGTTCTGGATTTTACACGGTTTGAAAACCAAGGGGGCATTGATCATAGATGGAGGGTGCTTTGCCGCGCTCACCCGGAGAGACAGAGCAGGTTTGTTACCAGCGGGAATCATTGATGTGGTGGGAAACTTTCATGCAAATGAATGTGTGGCGATAAAAGTTGTCGCTGATCGTACGAAATTGACGGAGCTGAATATGATTGAGGTTGGTCATTGCCGTGTGAATTACACTGCCAATGAAATAAGATTGATCAAGGGCCACAAGAGTAGTCAGATAGAGTCCATATTGGGGTATGCTGATAGTGAATATGTTGCACACAGAGATAACCTAGCATTTCCACCGGTAACCCCTTCTTCGACATAGTTTCACTTGTATGTAGCTTGTGTGAATAGTGATGCTCACAGAGGAAAAAATAAAAAAAATAAAAAAAAAGAAAAGAACAATAGAATTCCCCAGAAAGATCAACTTTTCAGTCTTGGAACCTTTATGAACGAACCGTGTGTGTACGCCACTCATTCATGATCCCTTATATAATAGACCCTTTGATAGATGATCTACCGTTGAAACAAAATGAACGCATTACTGCAGTTTCTGCACACGATCGTAATGTATATATTGGAACCTCGATCGGGAACGTACTACACTATCATCTATTTGAAGATGCAACAGACTACTTGCAAATCACAATGATGTCAGTTGGAGGGAAAGAGATTGCTCAAATGGTGGCATCTGAGCAGTTACAGAGGTTGTTTGTCTTGGAAAACAGTACGCTCTTTGTATTTCTGTTGCCTGAGCTTAGCCCCATGAGTACACGACAATTGAAAAATATTCGACATGTATGCTTGGCAGATGATGGAGCCTCGTTGATGCTTATCAAGCAATCAAGCATTCAAATTGCTAAACTTGAGGAAAATTCGTGGAAGTTGATTCAGGATTTCAAGTACGAAGGGGCTGTACTTGGAACGGCACCCATGAATAACTTAATTTTGTTAGCAAACTCAAAGGCCTATGAGATACTCGATACGTCGTCAGGAAGATCAATGCCTCTCTTTGACTACAAATCAGGTGCAGATGTTTCTCCCGTGATTGTCCCTTTTGAAACACCAAACGCAACAGAATATTTGCTTACCGTTGCTTCCGATGAAAACACTTCAATTGCGCAATTTATCAACACCAAGGGAGATGCCACTAGGGGTACTTTGACATGGTTAAATTTGGGGTATCCTCAAGGCGGCGTCACTATCAAGTGGCCCTACACATTTGCTTTGTTTGAGCATTCAATTTTAGTGTCCTCTTTGGAAACCCTTGAAACTGTGACAACACTAAGCATAGAAGAAAAGGTCTCGGAAGCCAATGCAAGCGGAAAACATTTGCACCCTATGAGCATTCAAAAAGCCAATGTCTTTTTTGCGGACAAGTCGCTAGAGGGCGTTATTGGTCTGCCGTTGGAGCTGCGCTCAAATATAGTATTTTTCAATGAATCAAAATTGTTTAATGTTCATCAAGAAAATGAGGTGGTATCGGCCAATAAAGCATTTCAACAAGCAATGGAGACCAACGAATTCGATCAGTTTCTGGCCATAGCTCATGGTGATTCCAAATACGTGCACATTCTCAAAACTATGGTCGCCTTTTTGACCGACACGGATCCAATTGCATTACTTTTGGAAAGAAAAGATGGTCAGTTGATTATTGATGCAGATTTAGCTCTTCGATTGTTAGGTTACGAGGCTCAGTTCCTCCTGGTGTATCCGGGATTGAGGGAGGTGATGGAAATGTGGGACTTTAAAGATGAAGCCATTGCGAAACGGTACTTGCAGAATTTGAAACCTACAGATATGAGTGCCGACTCAAGGATATTGAGCTACAAGCTTCTTCCTGCAAGTGATATTTCTTCCTTGGTCTCAGAGGACAATTGGACATTTTCAGTCAATGATGAAACAGTGACTAAGATATTGATCGAAAGGAACTTGTTATCTCAGGTGTCACATATTTTTCAAATGACGCCCAAACTGTCTGCAGTGGTATCAGCATATAAAGAATTTTTATTTCATCATTTGAACAATGATCTAGTGGAGGACGCATTAAAATTTCTATCTCAAGAACAACTCGATGAAAAAGACTACACGCGACTAATACTAGAGATCCTCAAGCTAAATAAAGATAAAGGTTATGAATTTATGAGGAAGTCGCCAATGTATCGCGAGGTCAATCAGAGGATATTGAATGAGTTGTCAGATGATCAGAAGGGGGAGAAGGATTATGCATTGTTGCGGATTGAGCTACTTGAATCGTCATTTACCGAAAATACTGCATTGCGCGGGGAGTTATCAAGCTTGATTTGCTCTACATTATTCTCGCTTTACAATGACCAGATGAAGGAAAATCTAAAGGAACTACATGCCGCATACCGAGAGACGAATAAGCTATTAAAAGACAAGTGGCCCAAAATATCATGGATAGATTTTCTATCCTTCACCAAGGTACAAGACTATCAAACATTCATTGACTTGTATATAAAGGGGTTTGAGCTAGCAAACGAAAAAGACACGTATCCAGATGAGCAACTTTTTACTTACTACAAGCTTTACACAACACAGGATGTTGCAGGATTACTCGAATTTGGAGATTATTCTAGTGCTGAACGTGTAGCTTTGGGCAAATGCGCGGCTCAGCAGAAGCCGTTTTACAAACATGAAATTGGTTGGCAAGGAACGGTTGATAGAAAGAGTCTCTTGCTTATTTTCAAGCACTATGTGCTGGTCTATGAACAGCAAGAACCAGTCGAGCCAGCAATCCAACATTTCGTCGACAGCTATGGCAATTATTTTTCTCCAGTCACTTTAATCAAGCTACTACCCAGCCAGTTTCCATTGGCGTATCTAGCCTACTTTTTGAGAACTTCATTCATCAATATGCAAGCACAGTCGAGGGAAAAAGTGATTACCAAAGCAATCATCAAGTCTGAATTATCTAGAACTAAACATTTAATAAATGATTTCCTATAGAAAGCCCATAAGAAGCAAGATATAATCAAACACGATACCGTACCAGAAAATGAATCCAGTTTGAATATTCGACGTAAATGCGCTCCAACAACTTTTCTCATCGTCGAGGTCAACCTTGATTATCTGCTGGTACAATCTAGTAATAGCTATAGCTCCTGCGATGTAAAAACCGGGGCCCATAGAATTCATAACACCCGCCATTGTGTAGAACCCAGCTTGTGCAACAGTCAATCCCTTGAGAATTGGTTTACTTTTATCTCCCCACGCTAATGCTGTTGACTTTATGCCAGCGTGAATGTCGTATTTTTTGTCCTGGTGAGCATAGATAGTGTCGTAGGTCAAACACCAAATCCAGTTCGAAATGAACAACGGAATAGCCACCCACAAGTTTAAAGGAGCGCCAACTGCAGGAAATCCCAAAAGGCACCCCCAACTAAAGCATATGGATAACATGGCTTGCGGGTAATAAGTAAATCGTTTGAATAATGGATATGCAAAAACAAATGGTAAGGAGAACGCTCCTAGGTAGAAACACTCCCATGGCAAGCTCAATAACACTGCTAAACCAGCAAAGCACTGAACACCAAGCCAAGCAACGGCTTGAGGAACAGTCACTCTTCCACTAGTAATTGGTCTCTCCATTGTTCTGGCCACTTGATTATCCAAATTTCTATCCCAGATATCATTAATGGTACAGCCTGCACCCCTCATTATGAGTGCACCTGCTGAAAACAATCCAATTGCACCCAACGTTGTGGTCAAGGGGGCCGCTATGGAATACGCTGCCATTGTGATTCCCCAATAGGAGGGTATCAACAACAACCAAGTGCCAACTGGTTTTTCTAGTCTCATAAGCTCGAGATAAGGTATCCATTTCTCAGGGAGATTCTTGAGCCAGCCCAACTTTGCCTCTCTAGCGAGCCGAGCAAGTTCAAGCTCTTGCGGGGTGAACTTAGACCTTGCCTGTTCGATTTGAGCTTGGTGTGAGGAAAGTTTGACATTGGGAGCGTGCAATTGAGGTAATATAGCGCATTTCGAGAAAAGCCTTCTCGTGATTGGCCCCCTGAGTGGAGACAATAAGCGAATGGACATGTGGTGATAAATTGAATGAAAAATGCCCACAGGTTGATGATTTTTTCTTCTTCCTTGTTTTTTTTATTTTGTTTTATTTATTTATTTTTTTTTTATTTTTTATTTCTTCTTTTTGCGTTGGTGGTGTTATTATTCCACTTCAGCGTCGAATGCCTCAAATTCCAGCTCGTTGTTCGGCAGAAGTCTTTCCCTCATTACCCTGTGTCCATCTATTACAGTTTTGAGGTTCGAATACTCTGCTAATGATTCGTCTGCTAGTGGTTTGAACGTAAATATCTGTCTGCACATCGGACACAATCCCTTTGATGACTCTTGCTCGAGCCATTTCAATATGCAATGTAAATGGAAGTTGTGTGTGCAGCCATCTCCTAGTATTATTGGGCACTCGTCACCGGGGTATTTGCAAGTAGGACATGCGCCATCGAAGGAGACACGACAGATTCCACAAAGCTCTTCAACGTATCCACTAGTGTTTCCGTGGTTGGGTAAAGAAGAAGATAGATCCCAATGCCAAGTGCAAAATCCCTTCCATTCAAGTACAGCCACCTTCATACTGGTTCTGTTTCAGGTGTGGTGGGAAGCGTGAGAGTGGATGATTTGTTTCACTTTGCTGTGTGTGTATACATTTGATTTAATCTGATTTTATATTGAAACGCGAAAAAACAAAAAAAAAAAAAAAAAAATGCCAGTCTGTATTTGTATCTATGTATTCTTCTTATAAACCAAACCCTTGAAAATATCAAATGAGTTTCCATCTGGTTGCAAATGCAAAACTTCATGGTTCTTTTCATCTTCTGCAATAAGTAAACCATATTCCGGGGTTATGCCCTTGATGACGCATGTTCGGGACTGACCATGATCTCCAGAGACAACAACTCTTTGATCAGAGTGGAACCATCTCTTGTAATACAAAGGTAAAAATGGACGCAATCCTGACTTCTTGAAAACGGTGTAGAACTGGTCAATGGTGAAAACTAACTTTGCTAACAATACTTCAATTTCATATGGTGGCAAAGCAGATTGTCCTTTGCTGACTCTAATGTCATTGAGTTTTTGCAACACCAAGTTCAATGAAGTTGTAGGTGCATCGTTGGAAACATTGACACCTCCTCCCCAAACCAAATTGAACTCACCATCAATAAATTGCGAATTGATTAACGCACCTGACACCTTGACGTATTTCTCGTCGTCTCCATCAACGGTCGATCCCACCTCTTGTTTCAAGTCGCTGAAATATTCAGGTTTTAATATGAAGATATCGTTTGGCCACTTGAGACGCACTGGTAAATCCTCGTACCCAACACCCTCGCCAGAGACGAGACTTCCATATCCAAGGATGGCCTCAATAAGAGCCAATCCACACAAATACTGTAAAGTCACAATTGAGGAAGACACCAGTTCTGACCTGGGAATTTTGAACAAGATCGAGGTGGCCAACACCCCACGAGGATTGATCCAAACGTTACCTCCTCTTCCTCGACCAGAGATCTGCGTGGATGCAGTCAAAGCGAACCCATGGGGGAGATATTTCAACCAATGTGGATTCTTTTCAAGAATGGTGCTTGTTGATGTAATGACTTCGGAGTAACCAAGAATACCTCCAAAGTCGGTCACAGTATCCTTTGATAATTTGCGAAGAGTGTCGAAGTACTTTTGCAAGTTGAAATATGGAGTCATTTTGCCTGTGGGTATGTTTCCTGAAGTGATGAAATTCACATGTTTGACCCCCTTTGTAGGATCTTGTTCGTCATCTTGTTGCAAGTCATTGGTGTGATTTTGTGGGTTGGATTCATCTTGAAAAAGAAAAGTGTCATTGTCATCGTTAAAGAGGCCATTGTTAACATCTAGGTTCTTCTTTAAGGTCATGAATATGTTGCTAACTTTACCTGAGAATGGCGAGGCGATGTACATGGGAGTTACTTTTGGTGTAGTGTCCTCGGTGTCTTCACTCACACGAAGACCCAATTTTCTCAACAACTCTCTCGTGAAAACTCTTCTTTCTCTATCGTGCTCTCTAAGTTTATCAACAACGGGTTCAAACTCTTTTTCAACCTCCTTGAACAATTTTGGTGAGAATTCAGGGTGCGGTCCAGTCAATATCACCGCGCCTTTGCCTATTTTTCTGTATATTATAGCAGCTCCATCTTGATCATCAACATCAGTTTTCTCGGCGTATCTTGCCAACACTTCAACATCTTTCAACTTTGAACTATCAAGGAAAAGGCCCCCACCATTGTAATAAGTATAGACGTGTTCCGATGTTTTGGGCAATGCATGAGTATTGACCAGTAGCTTTGATGCCCTTGCACCCAAATGCAGCTCGTATTTGAACCCTTTGAATGCACACCCTCTGCAAGTTCCAGGATAAAAGGCGAGCTCTCGAGAGCCTGACACCTCCAATGGACCACCAAGGTCGAACTCGCACCTCTCAGACGCATAGTATCCTCCGGCACAAAACCCTATGAATTTCCCACCATCTTTGACATACTTTTTGATTCTTCTGTTTCCCTCTCCATTCAAGGACTGACAATACGGTAAATCAGCACCTCCTGGGATAACCAACATTGAGGTTTTTCTCATCCAAGGCTCAGTTAGCAAAACAGTTTCACTAACGGGAAGCACGGCATAGTATTTGGATAAGTGAAGGCGCAACGAATCAAGACAGTGCTTTACGCTCTCTGTAGTTGTTCCAGGACCCGAGTACACTAAGACATTCATTGTTGCTAGTGGAGGAGGTGGGGGAGGAGGATCTTCATTCCAACAAAAAATTAAAACTCCTCCTAAAAAAAACAAAAAATTCAAAAAGTTTCAACAAAAAAAGAATTCCCGCTTTTCCATGACTCTGAGTCATCAAGCATCGACCATGATACAGGAACAAGAGAAGATGAAGCTAGACCCAAAGCCTGGGTTTGTGATCAAAACCAAAATACTAGAATCTAAAGATGCTTCGAAGATCTCAACAAAAGTTTTCATCAATGTATGTCATGATTCTCGGGTGCCGAAGCCATCGGTTGATTTCGAGCCGGAAGTAGTGTTTCCCAAAATTATAGAAAACCAGTGGGAGATACCCATAGTTGTATCCACAGCCAAGGAGTCAAAAGATAAAAAGGGCTTTCCGTCTTTGGTGTATGACTGCTGCATCAATGACGATTGTTTTCGATGGTGCCAGATCAGCAAGGATTTGAGACTAATTTTGATTGAGTGGTGTATTGAATCGATCGAATTAATCACTACGGTGACTTTAGAAAGGGATTACAGCATCCCCAAGATGTTATCGAAGGGCGATTTGACCCAAACTGAGTTGACCGCGGAAGAGTTGAGCGACTTAGGGTTCAAGAAGTTGCACGACTTGAAGCAAGATGAGACCTTAGGTTTGGTTGAAGAGCTCAAGTTGGATGGTGAGGAAGAACCAGATAAGAAACTACCTAGTCTATTCAATATAGGCGGGGAAGGAACTTCGAAAAAGCCATTAATTGAAGAACTTTGAATCTTTGAGCCACAATTTGTCTTTGGGATTTCTGCATCTTTTACAGGTTCAAAGGGGTTAATATATTCAGCTTCAAATAAATGTGATGGGGGGGGGAGGAAGGGGGAGAGGGGAGGGAGTTGACCTCAACACTGGGTAGGTTTTGCCATGAATTGAGGAGAGGGCACATGTGTGGTCACCACTGCGCTGGCAGGGATTTGAACGTTAAAGTGGTTTTGTAGCACAAACTGTAAACCTATATGTACTCAAAGGTCAATCAGTATACGAATGTAAACTTGAATGAAGATTCCATCAGTGCAGTGGCTGTACCCTACCTCAATATCACTCTGTACCTGGCTGCAAACATGGCTATAGAAAAAAAAGGAAAAAAAATAAAAATGATTTCTGTTGAAAAGCTCATCGCACATCACCCATTCATTGTCAACCATGGTGAAGAAATTTGACAAGAAGAACGCCACTACCTACAATATTGTTCATCGTGCTCATGACGATGCTCGATTCTTTGACGACGATGCCACAAATGTGTTGGTGCCAACAGCACAGTCTCAGAAATCTGCTTCTACAAAGAAAGTGTTTTCCAAAAACGAACTTGAAGCAAAATTAAGGGATCAAGTCAGAGAAAACGAAGGTTTGGCAGCACAGTATGGTATTACTTTTGATGACTCAAAGTATGACTACATGCAACATTTGAAACCGATAGGTAACTCCGATGGTGTTTTCATTCTGGCAAAAGAGCAAGAGCAACATAGGCGACAACAAAAACTAGATTTGGAAGCACTCTTGAAGGATCAGCTACCTTCTTCTGAGAAACGTAAAGTGACAAAAGATTTGAATCAAAGTATACCTGACGAATTGAAAGGGTTCAATCCTGATATGGACCCCAGATTAAGGGAGGTGCTCGAAGCATTGGAAGATGAGGCATACATAGAAGAAGTTAAACACCAAAAAGGTGACGGAAGCAATGAGGACGATGAAGACTATGATGACGATATATTTGCTGACTTGTTGAAGTCAGGCCAAGCAGAAGAGGAGGAATATGACTACTACAATGAGGATGGCAACTATGAAGACGAGTACGACGAATGGGACTTGGATAACTACGAAGACGAATACAACGCGAAATATGACGAGCATCCTGAGGATCTCGTGGGACAAGAGGGAGTAAATGAAGATTGGCAGCGTGATTTCATGAAATTCAAGAAGGAGAGCAAGAATAAGGCCCACTCATGGGATTCGGATGATGAGTTCGATGACGAAAGTGAAAAAGAAGAAGTAGACGAAGATGAGGTTGATAATGTGGGAGAGTTGCCAGATATGAAATCCAAAGCTTCTAAATCCAATACGAAATTGAGGAAAAAGAAAGGTGCTATGACAGACACATCCTCATTTTCAATGTCTTCCTCCGCACTATTCAGGTCAGAAGGACTCTCGCTACTTGACGACAGGTATGAGCAGATGAACAAAAAATACACTCGTGGTGAAGCTGCAGAAGAAAATTACAAACCGTTCGACATGGATAGGGAAAGGACGGATTTTGCCGGAATGGTTGACGATTTCTTGGACAACTACGAGTTAGAAAGTGGTGGACGGAAACTCACAAAGAAGGATACAGAGAAGGCAAGGCTACAACAAGCGGCAAACTCTGTATCAAAAGGCAAGGCTGGAAGGACGTTGAGCTCCTCCCTTGCGAATATGAAGATTGAGTAAGTTTAAATAGAGAAAATGCGACATTAGAAACACGACACTGTAGAAGAAAAGGAGAAAGGAAGAAAGAGAGAAAAAAAAAAAAATCATCACCAGCTTGGAAGAACTTACAACCATCACACTTTTCAATCACCGAAAGCAACAAGTGGTTGTACTGACTCATATATCCCTTCATCGCAAGTTACTGTACTGTATCAATCTAATTGTACTTGTGGAAGTGGTAATTCATAGTGGCAAATTGACGAGCAGGGAATTAGTTCTCACATTCAGAAAACACACAGCAAGTAGACGACACATCAGTTGTCTTTCACACACACACACACACACAAGTACCCCGTTCAACCAATCTTTCTGAAAAAGGCTCTATAGAAAGTCAAAGCGCTTTATATACGCAAAGCATCACCCACGAACCTGACCTTTGTTCCCTTTTTTTGATTTTTTTTTTTTTTTGGTTTTGAATTTCATTTCTTCTATCGGCAAACATCCTTGTTATCTTAAATTGCCTCCTTTCAAACTTTCACGAACTCGCATCACATTGATATCAAAAGCATTAATTGTTATCTCGGTTTTAATTTTGCTATTCACAACTATTAGTCCATCTGGAAACTTGCTATCGCCTATCACAAATTACTTTAACAAGAAGAGTTCAACTGTCCAATCAAAATCGATCATGCTTTCATCAAACAGTGTCTCCAAAGTATATGCTGATGTTTTAGCGTCCAAACCCCAATCCTACTGGGACTATGACGACCTCAATATAAAATGGAATCCCCAGGAAAATTATGAAATTATTAAAAAATTGGGAAGAGGTAAGTATTCAGAAGTGTTTTTGGGTATAGACCTTGTTAAGGGGGAAAAAGTGGTGATAAAGGTGTTGAAACCTGTCAAGAGGAAAAAGATCAAGAGAGAGATATCGATATTGAAAAACTTGGTTGATGGCCCTAATGTGGTTGCCTTGTTGGATGTGGTAAGAGAGCCACAACTGAAAACGCCAGGACTTATTTTCGAAAACATCAACAATATAGATTTCCGGACGTTGTATCCAACATTCACCGATTACGACATCAGATTCTACATGTATGAGCTATTGAAGGCGTTAGATTATTCCCATTCTATGGGCATCATGCACAGAGATGTCAAACCTCATAATGTTATGATTGATCACGAACAGAAAAAATTGCGGTTGATAGATTGGGGTTTGGCAGAATATTACCATCCAGGAACAGAGTATAACGTTAGAGTAGCATCGCGGTACTTTAAGGGCCCTGAATTGTTGGTTGACTATAGATTGTACGATTACTCGCTAGATCTTTGGTCGTTTGGGTGTATGCTTGCTTCCATGGTGTTCATGAAGGAGCCATTTTTCCATGGTAAATCAAACACTGATCAGTTGGTACAGATTGTTCGTGTTTTAGGATCAAACAACTTGAACAAGTACTTGGACAAGTACAACTTGGTTTTGGGGGACGAGTATGAAGATATTGGATACTACAATAGAAGACCTTGGGAACGCTTTATCAATGAAAATAATCAACATCTTGTGACGAATGAATTTTTGGACATCATTGACAAGTTGTTGAGGTACGACCATCAAGAGAGATTGACCGCGAAAGAAGCTATGCAACACCCTTACTTTGACCCTGTAAGGGCCAACTCGCAGCAGTAAAGTAAATATTTTGAGATAAAGCTTTTTAATGAAATGTCCTTATCTAATCTATTTGAAGAATTTTGACATGGCCCTTTTCTGCTTCTCTTTTCTAGTCTTTATTTGAGCTTTCACGTCTTGAAGCCCTTTTTTAATTGCAGCATCAGATGGTTCCAACTTCAAGGCTTCCTCAAAAGCCGCTTGTGCAGACTCTTCGTCTTTGGCCAATAAGTAACCCAGACCTTTTCTATACAATGCCTTGGCCTTGGACTTGTTGTCGATGGAATCCACCTCCAACGCCTCACCGGCAGCTTTGATTGCCTTTTTACCTTCTTTCAACTTTAGGGCCACGAGAGCCAAGTTTAAGCTACAGGATATTTTCAACTTGTTCAACTCTGAAACGTCAGCTTCGGAAAGTTCTTCTGGGAAATAATCGGTGGCAAACCCAGCAGCTTTTGCATATTTTTCATACGCCTTGTTCAACTTCCCTTCCTTCAACAATTTGGTTCCAATATCTTTGACTCTAGTAATGGCATTAAACACAGATTGCGGATTGTTGATATCGATGTCCTTGGCATCATTGTCGTGCAACACTTCCTCGTATATGTCTCCAGTACCATCATCTTGGTCGGATGAATTTAATACGTAATCTTCACTCAAGGCCCCACAATCGGCGATTTTCCACTCATCCACCGGTTTATCCCCTGAATCCTTTTCACTTCTTTCCAATTGACGGACAATGGATTTTCCTTGAACTACTTCACCAAAAACCACGTGCTTACCATTTAAATGGGGAGTAGGAACCGTGGTGATGAAGAATTGTGATCCATTTGTATTTGGACCGGAATTTGCCATGGATAATAAGAAAGGTTTATCATGAAGTTTCTCAAAGTTTTCGTCCTCAAATTTTTCTCCGTAAATCGATTCACCTCCAATACCGGTCCCGTGAGTGAAATCACCACCTTGGCACATAAAGTCTTTAATGACCCGGTGGAAAATGGAGTCCTTGTAAGTTAAAGGCTTCCCCGAGATCTTTGAGGTGCCATGTTCTCCAGTACACAACTCTCTAAAGTTTTTTGCAGTTTTAGGAACGACATCATCGTACAATTTGAAGATGACTCTTCCTTTGGGTTTACCGTTGCAAGTGATGTCAAAGTACACTAAACTTTTCTTGGAATCTTCGGGGGCTGCCATTGTCAATTGGGAGTTTATTGATTTGTCGTGTATGGTGGAGGATATTGTAGGGAGTAAATGTCCTTGTCGGTGAGTAAATATATAAGTGTGCTGAGATTTAAGAAATGCTTGTCTATGGAAATTTCTGGAAATTTTTTGACTTGACAGAAACATGGAACCTGTCACAAAATCAGAGAGTTGCGAAAATTTAAAATCAACCAGTAGATCTGTTGGGAGGAGGGCATGTAAGAAATAAGGAAATAGTTTGAAACTCAGATGAGACAGCGTACATGGTGGAGCTTGTTGGTACGGGTGCTGTTCTGGGGGTTAGACATCAATGTGTCCTAAAGTTAAATACTTAGACAAGCCAAAGAGGCCCAGTAGAGGCGACCTCTATCTCAAGCCAATGCTTGCTCCCTTCTATTTAAGTACTTTCCTATCACGAACACCTTCCTGTCCACTATGTTGAGTTAACTCCTCGGTGCAATCATGTTACTGTTCAATGGGTGGCGTATAAAGTCGTGTGCGTGTCTACAATTTTTTCTGCAAAATTGACAAGAGGAAAAAAAGAAAAAAGAGACAGAGAGGAGAAAAAAAAAAATACATTACTCACACATACACTGTGCCTTCTTACCTCGACGACTTCACACCTCAAGGGGGACTGCCCATCAATCATCTTCTGTATCATACTCAATAGCATATCGTCATAGTCACCACTTCTCATTCCTTACACTACATATAATCATAATTTGATTTCGTTTCCTTTATAGACTTATTAATAATCAGGAAAATCTTACAAAAAAAAAAAACTTTTCAAAAAGAACATTAAAAAAAAAAAAAAAGAAAAACGAACCTACGAAGGCGAAAACTTTCAATCCATCATATTACAAAGTCCAAAAGATGAGTAGAATATTTCCGTTTTCAAATGCTCCGCTTCGGTCTGTCAAGGAAGTCCAGTTTGGTTTGCTATCTCCTGAGGAAGTAAGGGCCATTTCGGTTGCCAAAATTGAATACCCAGAAACTATGGATCAAGCAACCAAAAGACCTCGTGAAGGTGGTCTCAACGATCCAAGATTGGGCTCCATCGACAGAAACTTCAAGTGTCAGACTTGTGGTGAAGATATGGCTGAATGTCCTGGTCACTTTGGGCACATCGAGTTGGCCAAGCCGGTGTTTCACATTGGCTTCATTGCCAAGATCAAGAAGGTATGCGAGTCCATCTGTATGCACTGTGGAAAATTGTTGTTGGATGAGCTGAACCCTTTGATGGCACAAGCGATCAAGATAAGAGATCCAAAGAAACGGTTTAACGCGGTGTGGAGTGTATGTAAGAGCAAGATGGTTTGCGAGACAGCCACCAACGAGGAAGAAATGGGTGACCATCCAACTAGAGGAGGCTGTGGACACACGCAACCAACCATCCGTCGAGATGGCTTAAAGTTGTGGGGGACTTGGAAGCACAACAAGAACTTTGAAGAAAATGACCAACCAGAGCGTCGTTTGTTGACGCCATCAGAGATTCTAAATGTTTTCAAGCATATAAGTCCAGAGGATTGCTATAGGTTGGGATTCAACGAGGACTATGCAAGGCCTGAGTGGATGTTGATTACTGTTTTGCCGGTACCTCCACCACCCGTTAGACCATCGATTGCATTCAACGATACCGCACGAGGGGAAGATGACTTGACATTCAAGTTGGCCGATATAATAAAAGCCAACATCAATGTTCAACGTTTAGAGATTGATGGGTCTCCGCAGCATGTGATTAGTGAGTTTGAAGCATTGCTTCAGTTCCATGTAGCCACATACATGGACAATGACATTGCTGGACAACCCCAAGCGTTGCAAAAAACAGGACGTCCAATCAAATCTATCAGAGCAAGGTTGAAGGGTAAAGAGGGTAGATTGAGGGGTAACTTGATGGGAAAAAGAGTGGACTTTTCTGCCCGTACAGTCATCTCTGGTGATCCCAATTTGGACTTGGATCAAGTGGGTGTTCCAATCTCTATTGCCAAAACTTTGACCTATCCAGAGATTGTAACGCCTTACAATATTCACAAGTTGACTGAGTTGGTGAGAAACGGTCCAAACGAGCATCCCGGTGCAAAATATGTGATCAGAGATACTGGTGATCGTATTGATTTAAGATATAACAAGAGAGCCGGTGATATTGCTTTACAGTATGGTTGGAAAGTCGAACGTCACTTGATGGACGATGACCCAGTCTTGTTCAACCGTCAACCCTCTTTGCACAAAATGTCTATGATGGCGCATAGAGTGAAAGTCATGCCATATTCCACATTCAGGTTGAACTTGTCAGTAACCTCACCTTATAACGCGGATTTCGATGGTGACGAAATGAACTTGCATGTACCACAATCTCCGGAAACCAGATCGGAGTTGTCACAAATCTGCGCTGTTCCTCTTCAAATTGTGTCACCACAGAGTAACAAACCAGTCATGGGTATTGTGCAGGATACTTTGTGTGGTATTCGAAAAATGACTTTGAGAGATATATTTATCGAGTACGACCAAGTCATGAATATGTGTTACTGGATTCCCAATTGGGATGGGGTGATTCCACCTCCCGCCATTATCAAGCCCAAGCCATTGTGGTCCGGTAAACAGATGTTGTCTATGGCCATTCCAAAGGGAATTCACATTCAGAGATTTGATGGGGGAAGAGATTTATTGAGTCCAAAGGATACAGGAATGTTGATTGTTGATGGTGAGATTATGTTTGGTGTTGTTGATAAGAAAACTGTTGGTGCCACTGGTGGTGGGTTGATCCATACTGTGTTTAGAGAAAAGGGACCCCAGGTGTGTGCTCAATTGTTTAGTTCCATTCAAAAAGTTGTTAATTTTTGGTTGTTGCATAATGGATTTAGTATTGGTATTGGGGATACCATTGCTGATGCTAGCACGATGAAAGATATCACGAAAACCATTCAGGAGGCTAAACAAAAAGTGCAGGAGATTATCCTTGATGCTCAGCACAACAAGTTGGATCCAGAACCAGGTATGACTTTGAGGGAATCGTTTGAGCACAATGTATCTCGAGTGTTGAATCAAGCGCGTGATACTGCTGGTAGATCGGCTGAAATGAGTTTGAAGGATTTGAATAATGTGAAGCAGATGGTGACGTCTGGTTCCAAAGGTTCTTTCATCAACATTTCACAGATGTCTGCGTGTGTTGGTCAACAAATTGTGGAAGGAAAGAGAATCCCTTTTGGTTTTGCTGACCGTTCATTGCCACATTTTACCAAAGACGATTACTCTCCAGAATCAAAAGGTTTTGTTGAAAACTCGTACTTGAGAGGGTTAACACCACAGGAGTTCTTCTTCCATGCAATGGCAGGTAGAGAAGGTCTTATTGATACCGCCGTCAAGACTGCAGAGACTGGATATATCCAACGTCGTCTAGTCAAAGCTTTGGAAGATATTATGGTGCACTACGATGGTACCACCAGGAACTCCTTGGGGGATATTATCCAATTCATCTATGGTGAAGATGGTATCGATGCCACTCAAGTGGAGAAGCAATCTGTTGACACTATTCCAGGCTCCGATGAGAATTTCGAACGCAGATACAGAATTGACTTGTTGGAGGAAAGTGGCTCTATTTCGGAGTCGTTGTTGGAATCAGGCAAGGAAATTCAAGGAGATGTCAAGTTGCAAAAGTTACTAGACGAGGAATACAATCAATTGCTCGATGACAGAAGATATTTAAGAGATGTTTGTTTCCCCAATGGTGATTTTAGCTGGCCATTACCTGTCAACTTGCGTCGTATCATTCAAAATGCGCAACAGATTTTCCACAATGGTCGTTACAAAGCTTCGGACTTGAAGTTGGACGAAATTATAAACGGTGTCCGCGATTTGTGCACAAAGTTACTAGTCGTGAGAGGAAATACCAAGTTGGCAAAGGAGGCCCAAGAGAATGCCACTTTGTTGTTCCAATGTTTGGTGAGGTCGAGGTTAGCTTCGCGTAGAGTCATTGAGGAATTCAAGTTGAGCAGGTCATCGTTTGATTGGGTGTTGGGTGAGATTGAAACTCAATTCCAAAAATCGGTTGTTCACCCTGGTGAAATGGTTGGTGTGGTGGCTGCCCAGTCAATTGGTGAGCCTGCTACTCAAATGACGTTGAACACGTTCCATTATGCCGGTGTTTCGTCAAAGAATGTTACTTTGGGTGTTCCTAGACTTAAGGAAATTTTGAATGTTGCAAAAAACATCAAAACCCCAGCATTGACTGTGTACTTGGACCCGGAAGTTGCTCTGGATATCGAATTAGCCAAGATTGTTCAATCATCAATTGAGCATACTACTTTGAAGAACGTCACGTCATCGACGGAAATCTACTACGATCCGGATCCAAGAACCACTGTTATTGAGGAGGATTACGATACTGTGGAGGCGTATTTTGCTATTCCCGACCAAAAGGTTGAAGAGAGCATCGAAAAGCAATCTCCTTGGTTATTGAGGTTGGAACTTGATCGTGCCAAGATGTTGGACAAGCAGTTGACAATGGCCCAAGTTGCAGAAAAGATTTCGCAAAACTTTGGTGAGGACTTGTTTGTTATTTGGTCCGACGATACTGCAGACAAGTTGATCATTCGTTGTAGAGTGGTTAGAGATCCAAAAGCATTGGATGAAGAGGCTGATGCAGAAGAAGACCAAATTTTGAAACGTATTGAAGCTCATATGTTGGAGTCTATTTCGTTGAGAGGTATCCCAGGTATCACCAGAGTGTTTATGATGCAACACAAGGTGAGCAAGCCAGACGAGACTGGTGAGTTCAAACAAGGTAAGGAGTGGGTGTTGGAGACTGACGGTGTTAACTTGGCCGATGTGATGGCGGTTCCAGGCGTTGACTCAACTCGTACCTATTCAAATGACTTTATTGAAATTTTGTCCGTGTTGGGTATCGAAGCCACTAGATCAGCCTTGTTTAAGGAAATCTTGAATGTTATTGCGTTTGATGGTTCATATGTCAATTATCGTCACATGGCACTTTTGGTTGATGTCATGACATCTCGTGGACACTTGATGGCCATTACTCGTCATGGTATCAACAGATCCGATACTGGTGCCTTGATGCGTTGTTCTTTCGAGGAGACGGTTGAGATTTTGTTGGATGCTGCTGCTGCTGCAGAGTTGGATGATTGTAAGGGTATTTCGGAGAATGTTATGTTGGGACAAATGGCACCTTTGGGTACTGGTGCATTTGATGTGATGGTTGATGACAAGATGTTGCAACAAGCTCCAGCCAATGTTGCCATGGAGGTGGTTGCTGAGGACGGGGGTGCTACGCCGTACAGGGAAGCAGAGATGCAAGACGATCGAATTCAAATCGACGAAAGCGCTGGTTTCTCTCCAATCCATCAGGCCCCAACTTCGGATGGTATGAATGGAGGCTTGACATCGTACGGTGGTCAACCAACCTCGCCAAATGTCACGTCTCCGTTCAGTTATTCCACCAGTCCAAGCTATGGTGGAACTAGTCCAAGCTATGGTGGAACTAGTCCGGGATACGGCTACTCACCAACGTCGCCAAGCTATTCACCTACATCGCCAAGCTACTCACCTACATCGCCAAGCTACTCACCTACATCGCCAAGCTATTCACCTACATCGCCAAGCTATTCACCTACATCGCCAAGCTACTCCCCAACGTCGCCAAGCTACTCCCCAACTTCTCCAAGCTACTCCCCAACTTCTCCAAGCTACTCACCTACATCGCCAAGCTACTCACCTACATCTCCAAGCTACTCACCTACATCGCCAAGCTATTCACCAACGTCCCCAAGCTATTCACCAACGTCCCCAAGCTATTCACCTACATCTCCAAGCTACTCACCTACATCTCCAAGCTACTCCCCAACTTCTCCAAGCTACTCACCAACGTCCCCAAGCTACTCCCCAACTTCTCCAAGCTACTCACCTACATCTCCAAGCTACTCACCTACATCTCCAAGCTACTCGCCTACATCTCCAAGCTACTCACCTACATCTCCATCGTACTCACCTACATCTCCAAGCTACTCGCCTACTTCCCCTCAATACTCGCCAACGAGTCCTCAGTACTCCCCAACTTCTCCAAGCTATTCTCCTGGCTCCCCAGGATACAACCCTGAGTCCCCAAAGAAGGAGGAGGAAAAGAAATAACTGGTTTGTAGTTCTTAATGTGTATTGTAATTTTTAGCCATGATTATCAATGTAGAATTTTACTTTTTTTTTTTTTATTTTTTTTTTTTTTCGCACAAACATTCCATCTGGAAAGGAGAGGGTGACAGTCACTACAGCATGTCTACCAAGGGAATCACTAAGCAAAACGCTGCTCCCACGTCACTTAAAGCTAGAAGCAACAAGAAGAATCAGGTGTTTAGGGCCTTGCTTGATAACCCGTACACGCAGTCCAACACTTGGCCCTTTGTGACGCCATCTGTGGCAAAGGATGTTTTAGATTTAATGGATGCTATACTCCGTCCTATTGTACAAGAAGCCGAGAGCATCTCACAGTTAGAGTGGCTACATTATGGTTTCAATTCGACAGTGGAGACTTTAGAAAGACAGGCTGCTAACAACAGGGGTAAACACAAAGATTCTGTCAAACAGATAAAGTATCTCATCGTTTGTAAGTACGACATCACTCCACAGATGCTCACCAGCATGTTCCCCGTCTTGAGTTTCACGGCTTCAAAGAGTGCATCAGATATGGTCAAGTTAGTGCAACTACCTAAAGGTAGCATGGAGACACTATCAAAGATTACAGGTGTGGCAAATACAGGCATTTTGGGGTTGTCTAATGATGTTACATCTGCCGAGCCCATATACAAGCTTATAGATGAAAATGTGAAGGATGTGGAGATACCCTGGTTGAATGATATATTCGATTCACCTGGAAAGTTTTATCAGCCACGGGTTAAACAGTTGCCAGTGAAGCCTCCGCAAAAGAAGAGGAAGAAGAAAAGTAAGCAACCGCCTGTTGAGGAAAACGCGTGAATAAATTTTTTTGTTGTATTTTGTTTTTTTTTTCTTTTTTTTTCTTTTGCATGAACTTTTACTCTGCCATTCTTTTCTCTTCAACCTGAACCATGTCGAAATCGTTGGAGCTCCCTTGGGTCGAAAAGTATAGACCGCATGTGTTGGATGATATCGTAGGGAATGAGGAAACTATTGAGCGTTTAAAGATTATCGTACAGGATGGAAACATGCCCAATATGATTATTAGTGGACTACCTGGTATCGGGAAAACCACGTCTATTCACTGCTTGGCGTTCGAGTTATTGGGTAAAGAGCACTACCACCAAGCTACATTAGAGCTCAATGCTTCGGATGACAGAGGTATTGATGTTGTGAGGAACAAGATCAAGCAGTTTGCGCAGACCAAGATTCTGCTCCCACCAGGAAGGACAAAGATTATTATTTTGGATGAAGCAGACTCTATGACCCCCGGTGCTCAACAGGCATTGAGGAGAACCATGGAAATTTATTCAAACACTACAAGATTTGCATTCGCATGCAACCAATCACTGAAGATCATTGAACCGCTACAATCGCGTTGTGCTATTTTGAGGTATAATAAATTATCAGACGAGGAGGTGTTGAAGAGACTATTGGACATCATTAAATCAGAGAATGTGCAGTACAACAACGAGGGATTGCAGGCGCTAATCTTCAGCGCAGAAGGAGATATGAGGCAAGCGATCAATAACATGCAGAGTACGGTTGCTGGGTTTGGCTTTGTCAATGATGTCAATGTGTTCAAGATTGTTGACCAGCCACATCCGCTTGTGATTCGAAACATTTTATCAAATTGTTTGCAGGGTGATGTTGATAAAGCACTAGGTTTGCTAGATGGTCTTTGGCATAAAGGGTATTCTGCTATTGATATAGTGACGCTGACGTTCAAAGTGGCAAAGACCATCCCCAATGTTGATGAACTGAAGCGTTTAAACATGATTAAAGAGATTGGATTTGCCCATATGAGAGTTTTGGAAGGTGTCGGAAGTTATCTACAACTTTGTGGGATGTATGCAAAGATATGCGATTTATGATTTGTACACACTAGCTAGCTTTTCAAAATGATTGATTTCTGACTTTGAGTCTTCTGCCTCGTTTGAAATAATGGTGTAGACAAGTGAGTAGTTTCTATCAAGAAAAGTTTCCTTATCGTGACCTCTAAATGCATTTGACGCTTTGGTGAGATTGCTTTCGTAGGCGTTTCTTAGTCTTGTGATGGCTGTCACAGATGGCTCGCCCGCTGACGACAAGCGGAGCAATCCCAGATAAAACAATGCAAACTGCTGGGTAACGTTCAATGGAACTAAAGATTTTGGAGTTCTTGGTATGTGCTTTTTTAGCGCATCGCAATTGAGATCAACAAGTTTGCTAAATATTGGCCAAAGTGTGAGCAATAATGAATTTAGGTGATCATCTAACGCAGGGATGTGATTTTCATGCAATCGTTGTTGAAAATTGTGTATCAATTTGATAATGAGCAATATAGCGTACACGTCAGAAGTTCCGTCTGTGATGAATGCAAGAAAGTCTTTGCTCATTTTGAATACGTCTTGAAATATTTCGGTTGCCCACGCATGGTTTGTTTCGTTGCCTTGATAAAAGAACCCCACAACAAATAGATACTCCACTGTCAAGTTATCGGAGATCGCTCGAAGAAGTTGAAGAAAGACAAACTCGATTGTGTATGGGACGGTTATTGTTTCTGCCAACTGTGATGGAATACAAGCGTCTGTATTTGTAAGTATTTGAAACCTTGACTCAAAGGTGGACAAGTAATTGGGTGAGTCAAATATCGAAACCTCAAGGTGTCTTCTAGGGAGCTTTTCCAAAGAGTATATATACTTTGCAAACTTGCTTCTGTAGTACCACCTCATTGTACTCTGATATGCATATTGCAATTGCTGTCCTAGCTTTGGCTGCTGCGATTGTAAGAATTGGAACACATCGGTGCACTCAAAGAGCCTGTTCTGTACTTCCTGTGACGATATGGGCTTTGCTCTTAAAGTCCGAATTTGAGCGATGACGAAATCTCTCATTCGTTCAACCACCTTCGCCTTTATCAACAAGGACTCTTCCTCATTCATCCTGTCGAGCAAGTAAGTCACTTTTTCAAGGTACCTATTGGACAAATCTTCATACAATATGTCTCGTATGAGCTCTGGCGAAAGCACTTTGTCGTTTATCGTTTGCTCGAGTAATTGAGTAATCATTTTGTTTGTGTGTGAGTCTCTGGACAACTCAGTTGACTTCTGTTCGAGTGATACTAAACTGGAAGACAAGTCTTTCAAGTCCTTGGAAAATCCTTCAAGGATTGCTCCGACTGGCTCTAGTTTCTTCCTGTGTTGGGATAATTCTTTATTATATGAACGAAAGTGTGACATTGCTTCGGCTATATCCAATTGCTCGTCGGTCTCTAGGTCCAATCGATAGTGCTCCAAAAGAGATTCTGAATCAATTGCAACATCTTTTGACGTGGCCACATCTCCGTCGTCTTTTAGGGGTAGTAGTTTTCCAAGTGCTGAAATTCCCATTATGGGTTGACATGAAACGTCAAAGTTGTTTCGAAATTGTTTTCTTTTTTTTTTTTGTTTGTTTGTTTGTTTTCTTTTTATCTGCACCAAATGTTGACTTTAAGCCAACAAGAGGCAGTGGATTATGATTACACTCCCGGCACAATTTTATCCATACAGAGTGGTCCTGGATGTGGCAAGACATGGACTTTGATCAACAGAATCAAACGTTTACTAGAAGAAGGCATGAATCCGCTGGAGATCATTGTGTTGTCAATGACAAACCGGACAGTGAATTTGTTGCAAGAAGCATTAGCTGATAGTTTGAAGTATGATATTGCTACAAACGTGGTTATCAAAACATTCCACTCTTTTGCTTCGCAAATATTTGATGACAATTTTGAAAAGTATTTCCCCGGTCGGCCGCCTAATTGTGTCGTTGATGATTCAACTTGGAAATCCTTTGCCAAGTTTTTCAGTGCAAAACACAAGGACTTGGATGCAGCTGTACTTGCAGTTAAGTCGGGAGAGGATGTTGATCAGGTAGCTTTGAGATATGCAATACCAAATGATCAATTGAGCCGTACTTTGGAGTACCTAGAGGATAACGGAATGATTCGGTTCCACGGTTTAATCACCAGTGCGTTGGAGATCTTCAAAGAGTCCCGCGGCGAGTTGTCTTTGGCTGGTGCAAAAGTAATCATCATTGATGAGTTTCAGGACATGCAACCGATACTTTTAAAGTTTATCAAACAGATTGCTGTTTATGGGTGCAAAAAACATGTCACGCTAGCTGGTGATAAAAACCAATGTATTTATGACTTTCTAGGGTCACGTCCAGGAATCACGCTGGAGTTTATACATGACTTGAAGTTTAAACACTCTGAGATTGTCTTGAAAGAGACGTTTCGATTGGGTCTGGGAGTGTTGGAGATGGCGAATGAAGTTATTCCTTCGGATTTGAGGAGTGTGAAGCAGTATGGAGTTGCTCCTTTGCGACAGGGTGAACTATGCACGGATATTGTTGAGTTGATTGCAGTCTCAGGGGGGTTAATCAAGTTTTCCGATATCATTGTACTCGCATTTACCAATAGAGAGGTGGACCAATTTGCCGAGGAGTTGACAACCCGATATGGAATCAGTAACAAGTTTAGATCCAACTGGGTAAACACGAAATTGCATATCTACTTGGATCTTCTACACGTTCTCAGGAAGAGCTACGGATCTGATTTCGCCTTGTTGTTTGTGTTGGAAAAAATGGGCACAAAGAATTTGAAGGAGTTGTTTGCCAGGTATAATGAGTGGAATTGTAGTAAGAAGAACAGATTGGAAGATTATTTGAGAGAAAACAGTGAAAATGTTGCCATCAAGGATCTTCTTGACTTGGTTGAACAGGAACGGGAAGGTTTGAATACTCCTGTCTCCATCTTTTCGTCGTTAGGTCGAATCAGTATGCGAACCGGGATAATTGGAGCTCCCAAAGCCGATGAGATGGGTGCTTTTTACACGTCATTGAAGACATCGTACAGAAGATACCAAAGCGAATCCAAAGGCACGTTTCTAGACTACTTTTTAAAGCATTACTACGATGATGATCCAATACTTGAAGAGGATAGTGTAAACTTGTCCACTGTCCACAAAGCAAAGGGGTTGGAGTTTCCAGTTGTCTTTGTACCCAACTTTTCAAGGTTGCCGAAACCGAGGTTAAAGTATGTTGCCATTACCAGAGCCAAAAGCTTGTTGTATGTTGGTAAAGAGGGTATCGACAAGCGGGAGATAGATGAGAAGATTGTGGAGACTGTCGCACTAGATTTGAGGAGAGTTCCAAATGCAATCAAAATGAAAGTAGGTAGACAATTTTTCAATTTATACAAGAAAGTGCTAGGTTAGTTTATTTAGTATATCCATAACTTCTGCACTTGGTGTGTCCTCCTTTTCTGACTTGTCGTCGTCCTCTGATTCGTCATCTCCTTTTGTTTTGTTTTCGTACTCATTCACCTGGACGTCTTTGGCAAAAGCAACCTTCTTAGGGGTGGAACCACCAGACGGGCTGGGAGATGCTTTCCTCTTTCTTGGTTCGTCATCAGAATCTTCTTCCTCGTACTTGGGCATCTCTTCGTCGTCAGAACTTTCAACAACGCCCAGTAAAGCACGCCTTGTTTCATCGATCTTGTTTAGTTTGTTATTGATAACGGCAATTTTGGTATCGTCCGTTTGAAATCCGCTCTCTACCGATTGAAGCAATTTCTCTAATTGTGATTTAATTTCCACACGAGTGGATTTTATGCTTTCTATGTTTTTTATCGACACATTGCTTAATTTCTCCAACACTTTTAGCTTGTTGAGATGGACTTGAGTTTCAGGTAATGTGTCTGCGTCCAAGTTCAAGTAGGTTTTAGACTGAATACCCAATTGGGTGAGATTCCCTTGACTTATATTGGTCAAGTCGTCAAGTCGCTTGTACAAATCGTCGATGAGTTGAAGCTCGGGAAGTATAGTTGTAGCAGTGAGGGCCGTTTGCCTCTCTGGAGGCTGAGCCACACGTTCTTTCAATTTTCTTATACCTTCAGTGTCAAACACCAATCTCTGCTCCCAAACTGAGATGAGCCTGTCAATCTTTTTCTGTATATTTGAATCAACGCTGTGGTAAATGGGGTTAATCACCTCCAAAAGGGGTCCAAAAAAGTCTGTTATATATTTCTGCTTATGATGACGCTTGGCTTTTTGGATGACATCGTTACATAGGTATAGTAGTAAGAGCTTGGTAGGTGATGGGGCGTTCAACACTTGCGATTTCCATGTATCAATAAACGACTTAGATGAGGGCTCATTTTGTAGCATATACCCGGATAGGTAGTTAATTGAGTCCTGAGTTTCATTGATGTTGCTCAACTTTGAAGCGAAGGACGACATCTGAGAGATGAAGAAAGTGTTGAAGAAGAAGAAAAGGGACAAAAAAAAAAAAAAAAAAAAAATTAATGTGAGTGTTTGTTTATGTTTCGACAACCATCATGGCTAAAGGTAAAGTGACCAAAGCCACAAAGTCTTCGACTCGTCCTATATTCGCCGAGGATGTGCTAACACAAACTGACCCATCTTCAATTGTGGATCTTATCAATCAATACGTCCACACAAATGCAGATGTTATACACGCGAAATATAGGGAATTCGCCGAGGAGCAGATGGCGGCAGATCACAAATTGATCCAGGAGCTACAAGAAGAAAATGCTAGACTAACGGAGGAGTTGGAGAGCAGGTCTCAATTCAGCTCCCCAGTTAAGAAGCAAGGCAACGAGGATGTTTTTTACTCGTTGGATATTCTTGAGATAATGAGTGGGTTGAAAGTCACCGACTTTAGTGACAACGAAAAGGAATTGGTTTACGAGATGAAATCTTCGGGCAAGGAGTTGGAAATCCATTATAAGCTAATACTTGCGAAAGACGGATCGGAGGTTACTTACATTCCCATATTTGATGGCAATGAGGAGGCAATGAAGTTGTTACCGGAATACTTTTTGGACAGCTTTTCGTTTGATTTCAGGAATTTACCATTATTCTATAACAAGGTGAACAAATATATAAATAAGTAGCTACTGGATGACCAACTTTCCATCAACGTTTGACACAGTCAAGTTTTTCAAGATTTCCTTTAGTTTCTTTTTATCATCTTTTGATGCCTTTTTGAGGATCTTGTAGAGGTTTGATTTTTCAGTTACAAGCAGGGCAAGTGGTGAAGAGTTTGATGAAGTCTTTGGTGATGACTTGGGTGACTCTGGTTTCCTTGCCGGCTCTGGTTTCCTTGTCGGCTGCTTCTTCTTCCCCTTGTATAAGCTTTTTTCGTATTTTTCAGCCTCGGAGATACAACTTGTGTGTTGGTTGTGGTCATTATTCTGAAACGTGGTTGAACAGTCAATACACGTAAAGTACGCTCCACGACATCTTTGTTGATGTTGGCTTAGCTTCTTCTTCACTACTGTGTCGTTGCAGACCTCGCATGAAAATGATACCATCGCTTCTGGTTTGGTTGGAATGAGCTCTGTACATACACAGCGCCAGAAACTTTTTTTTTTTTTTTCTTTTGATGAAGAAATTTTCGTCCATAATCAACTCAAAAATATCATCACACCACCAATGGCTAGATTCGGAACCAACGTATTCAGAGGAAAGAAGGAAAAGGAGATATACGACAAGAGCATAGCTGGAAGATATTCTAAACTCGTCAAGAAAAACCACTTCTTATATCTAGGGCTCCCCTTTTTACTTTCAATAGTTGCTGGATCCATCTACCTTCAAAAATTCACCAGCGTCAAATGGGAGAAATACGATCAAAAGTACCAGCAACTAGGAGAGGAAGAGATGTTGAACTTGATTGAGAACAAAAGAAAGGTCAACAAAAAGGATGACTATTACAGACTTCTGGGATTGCTCACGGATCATTTGGACAAGGTAGAAGACGATTATGAGATCAAACGAGTTCATAGGAAAAAGGAAGATGAGCCAGTGTGGTGGAGCAAGTAATTAAGTACGCAGATTGTCCTTCGATAGAGATGCAAGCTCACCAAGACCATCATCGACTATATTATCTGTCTTGGGAAATAGCAACAAAGTCACTTGATGAATCACCATTCTCATCCCCCCCGTGCATCATTGTCAGCGTCCAGCTCAAACTATGGAGAATCGTGGTGCTCTCCGTGTCCAGACCCAACATAGGAAGATCAACTTCTGATCTCAAGTTATCCTCGATTGATTCAGG